TTTGTTTCAAAATATTCAAATATTTAATCAATTATTTTTATGTTTTCTTTTTCAGAACCTGGATTTTTTTTTTGGATCCACCCAAATCAATTTTCCTCCGGGAGCCGGGGATCCCCTTTTCGTTTTGGTTTTTGAATTTTAGACTTAAAATATTTTATGGTATAAAAATCAAATTCATTTAATTTATATAAATTATCTTAATAAATCTGACATGTTTCTTTTCAGAACTGGGATATTTTTATCATCTATCAAAATCAAAATTGTTTCAGGAGCTAAGTAACCTTTTTCAATTTCCACTTTACATTTTCAATGGTATATACATGATTATTTTGTAATTTACTTAAAATAATTTAAAAATTTTAAATAAATTATATTAACTATAAATATTCTTTATATAATTACTCTCCTTTTATAATATTATTATAATTCAATTTTCTTTATGGTTCTTTTCAAATCTGAGATTTTTTTTTTCATTTACCTAAATCAAAATTCCTCCGGGAGTCGGAGATCACTTTTTCATTTTTAATGGTATAAATATGATTGTTTTATAACTTATTAAAATATTATAGAAATATAAAAAAATATTTAAATGTATGCTTTATTTCTGACTTTTTATTAATAAAGTTTAAATGTTTAAATGGATAATTAATGTTTTATGAAAAGTAATAAGTTATTTAATAGTTTTATTAATAGGAAATATTTACTTTTACAAATTTTTATAGCATTCAGACCTGGAAAATTGTTTAATGTCATCCTTAATACCATTAATATCAATCAATAATGAGAAATTTTTAGCTATTACTGGATCACTCAGTCGACTTGATATACCACTATTTGCCAATATCTATATCACCACATCAAGGACACTCTTCGCAGGAGCATTTCTGAAAAAGATAATTGAATAATAATTGTTGTATATGATGAAAGGAGAATATAAAATAGTTTAATGGAATTTTTTACCTTGGAAGTTATAAAAAATATATATATTTATTTTCTTATTTTGAATGGAAGATAAAGTTTAATATTTACATAAATTACCTCAAGTTGCCACTATGTTGAAGATTTGATATTTTAGTGGTTTAAGTAAATAAAAAATGTAATAATTGGGTGTAGAAGGAATAAGATACAAATTCTGCTATATCATGTGTGACGTTTCGGCATTGTTCCTCTTCTTTTGGCCAAAAGGTACACTTAGTCACTGACCTATAGAAGGGCCACTATGAAACATTGTTGGATAACAAGATTGATTGACAAAGAAACAAATTAAAACGGTGTTTGAAACATCACAGCAACATAAACATACTATCAGTATTCACGAAAATACAACAATTTACAGAAGAGCCCTCATGATTATGGATGTTGCGATACTACTGATATTAAAAAAGTATCGATACATTTCTTTCAATACAAGTACTTTTTGTATCTATCAATACTTCACTTGTATCGATAAAAAAATACTGGTATCGAATGTATAGCATTAAATCATTTATTAACCGCCATAATGGTTCAAAAATCAAAAGTACTCGAATGGTATCAAAGAATAATTCTTTTCTAGAAAAATTATTTGCGCGCATGGTAGAGAATTTGTTTATAAAATTCGGTCATCATACTAAAGTCTATACTTTATACGACTGTATTTGTTATTTCCATGAACCAGAAACTACAGTCCACAATACAATAGTGTCAATAGGTTTATAATAAACCTTTTTATCATGAATTATGTATACTGAGTTCATTTTTAGCCATGGAAATAGTAAAAAGTATTGCACAAAATATACAATATGTTTAGATTTACTGATTTATATACCGATTAGATGAAATATAAATTACAAATAATGATATAGGTACCTGGCGGAAACAATTAAAAATTTGTTTACATACAGCATTTTTATTTGTGGTTCATGAACCATAACTAGTTTTAGTTAAATATTAGTAAAATGGCATATTTTAAGATATACTAACATTTTGAATTCATTCTTAACTTGGAGAAAGAAAACTTTAAAATAAAAAAAAATTTTTCATTTGATACTTATTCATATAGGTCGTTTTCATATTTTATTGTTATCAATATTTTAATTATATTTGTTACGATGATAGGACTAAGTAAAAGGATCAATATTTTTTTTTCGATACTTACTCATACCGGTCGTTACGTTTCGTTATTTTCATTCCATTCGTTACCAAGTGAAAGTATCGATACTTTTCTTTCGATATCATGTCTCTACCTGTAAAACGGTAAATATTAGTATTTATAATCAATGATAATTGTGATAATAGGTAATCAACAAAATATTCAATGTACACAACTCGTTTGGATAAGACATTATATGATATGATATGATGACTCATACATTTTTATTGAGTATACTAATAATTTTAACTTGTGCAAGTGTTAAGTGTTAAGTAGTTAGCTTTTAGTCTTACTAATTGTTTTGTACTTTTATAAATATTTTTAGTGGTTACATTTCAATAAATCATGTTTTCTTCAGATGCTAATTATTCAAAACTCAAGACTAACTTGAGACTAGCGTTAAATCGTCTAAAGTTGCTTGAAAAAAAGAAAACTGAATTAGCTCAAAAAGCACGTAAAGAAATTGCAGATATGGTGGCCGCTGGTAAAAGTGAACGTGCAAAAATAAGAGTTGAACACATAATTCGAGAGGATTACTTTGTTGAGGCATTAGAAATTGTTGAAATGTTTTGTGACGCTCTATTATCTAGATTTGGTCTATTACAACAATCCAAGTAAATCTTATTATCTTTATGTTAACCTTATACATATGTAATCAAAATTCAAAATATATTTTTTATAATTAATTTGTTTTAACATTACTAAGCATATACCTAGTTACTTACTAAGAAAAATTAGTTGTTCTAGTAAATAATGCACCAAATTATTATATTTGTCTTGAACAATAATTATTTATTCTTTCTTTCTACACGATTTTGTAACTTTTTGCTTTGACATTTCTTTTTACAAAATTTAGCAATTTATAATTATTGTTAAAAAAAAGAATATTTTATATTTATACAATTATTTAACACATTATTTTGTGTTTATAAATTAAAATTTTTTTTTACATCTGAATCAAAATTGATTCCATATATGCTATTTAACCAATGTCAATATACATACATATTTTTTTGTAAGAGGTTTTTTATTTAATTTGTTACACAATAAAATATAAGAACAATCGATGAATAATAGAAAAATAAAATAAATAAAAAATGAATAGGTATAGGTATTCAATAAGATCTGATTTTAAAATATTTTTGCTCTTATCTTAAAAATGAATCTCAATTCTAAGTTTTTAACTATATTTTACTTACATTACAACTTACTTCTGTTGTTCTTCATTTATTTTATATACTATATATATTACTTTATAATAGTAAATACTTTTACTAATATTTTTAATAGTGAATTATATATTTTCAGAATGTTAGATCCTTCCCTTGCAGAATCAGTTTCCAGTTTATTATGGGTAGCTCCTCTTATTCAAGCTGATGTTAGTGAAATGAAAATTATTTCTGATCAGTTAACGCAAAAATTTGGTAAAAAATATACCGAGGTAAATAAAATATATAGGTATATTATATATTAATATTGAATATATCAATATTAAATTTATATTTAATTAAATTTAGGTTTAAAATGTTTAACAAATAAAATTCCAATGAATAGTTTTGTAAACACTCATTTTTTTACATTCTTTAATATTTTCCATGGAAGGCCCAAGAATATAACCATGATGTAAATTATCTTAATTAAAAAAAAATAATAAATTATTATTTAAAATTTGTAATAAAAACAATGATCACATTAAAAAGATTTATCATCTTGAAAACAAGATTTGTTAAGTTAATTTTCTGGTCAAGTGATTAATAGTATCTATAATAATATTATATATTGATAATTTTGCTGTATTATATTTTATAGGCATGCAGATCAGAAGACATGGATACAGTATCTCAAAAACTTAAGCATAAATTGAGCTTAAGACCTCCTCCTAAAATTCTTGTTGAGAAATATTTAATTGAAATTTCTAAAAATTATAGTGTGCCATATGAACCTGATTTACAAGTAAGCAAAGTTAAATTTATAGTTATTATAATGTTACTTCATTTCGTTATTGTTATATAAACTGAGTGCTCTATTCTCATATACTGAACTTATAGGTTCATAATAATTGAGAATTTCATATATAATATATAATTACTAAAACCTTTAATATAACTAAAACAAAATATATTTTAATAAAGAAAAGAATATATTGTTATAATTAATATTCTGAATCAGCATCATTGTTGGTAGAACCAGAACTGATTATAATTTGTAATAAAATATATGTAACGTAACCTGAATAAAATACATGTTACCAACACTACAATTACCAAAGGAGTAAATGTCTTGTTATTTCATACCACCTATGGTATAAATATCAATATATATTTAAGAAATTAAGCTACTGATATTATTTTAAGTTTTAAATTATTGATGTGTTACATAATTTGTTTCAGGTAATGCAAGAATATGAACAAACTCATAATATTGATTCTTTACTTTTTGATAACAAAAATGCGAATAATGAAAATTCTACACGGCCTACAGGGTTTATTGGCTTTCCACAACAGCCTATGGCTCCTATTCAGGCTCCACCTATTAATTATCCAGTAAGTATAAAACACAAGATTTGTAAATCATTTATTTCTTACTTGTTTTATATATTTTAGAATATGCAAACTATGAGCTCAATGTTAGATTCAGTTCCATTGGATTTTGATATACCACCTTCATTACCAACAATGCCAAATCCAATACCTCAATATACACAGCAGTCTGTCCCAAAACCACCTACTCCTAATATAGTTAAACCTATTACAAAAAAACAAATTTTGCCTAACAAAAATTTGGGTTTTTCAAACTTACCTGATCTTCCTAGTGTACCTACAGACATACCTTCTGGTGATATCAAAGCAAAAGATAATGATGAGGAAGAGACAGATTTTGATGAATTATTAAATCGATTTGAGGATTTAAAGAAAAACAAAAAATAAGTTTTTATTATTAACTTAGGTATTATTATTAAAATGTTATTATTATTCTTATTATTATTATTATTATTAACAACAATATAACAATTTATTATGTATTCATATATTTTTTGCTAGTTAATATTTATATACCATAAGTTATAAATTATCCAATTATACCTCCTAATAAAGGTTTCTGAATATTTCCATTAGGTCTTTTGTTATCTTTCTTTGATCCTAATGTTTCTGTTACTCCGCCTAATAATCCGTTTTGATTATTGTTATTTAATCCACTTAACAGTCCATTTTGATTACTATTGTCATTGTTTGTCAACAATCCTCCAACAGCATTTAGTGGGTTTCCAAGTAAATTAACTGTCCCCTCAGTGACATCACCCAAAATTCCATTCTTCAATAAATCTGGTACTGTTTTTAATATATCAGATATTCCTGGCAAGTTGCAGTATGACGATTGCAGTATATCTGGAATACCGCCCCACAATCCCATCTCACAAAAACGGAATTTATTTTCAATATGAGAATTTTCATCAAGTACAACATAATCTGATTGTTTTGAAGAAGTGAAAGAAGGCCATTCATCTCCCAACTTTTTTAATCTTGGTTTTCTAGAATTTTAAATAACACTAGAGTTTGATAATTAGAACAATATTTTACACTTACCCATTTCGTACAAATTCTGCAACCAATGATGTAAAATTATTTCTCATTTCAATGTCCTTTTTATCTTTCAATTCAGTTCCTATAATTGGTCTACCTTCAATGGTTCTAACATCATATAAATATATTAATTCATCTCCATGACCAGGCTCTCCTATTTATTATCCATTTATAATTTTAAAAACAAAACATATTTAATTATTGGTTAATTTTTAAAAAAATTACCATTATCTTCAGCAATATCATTACTTATAGGATCATTTTTGGGACCACCCAAAATATTTGGCAAAAACAATTTTCCTGGAGATTTCATGTTTGGCTTATGTTCAAAACTATAAAAGTAAACAGTACTACGTTTTGACCATAGATGTGATGTAAAAAAAGCCGGTAAGTTAAATAATGCATCTGTTGTTCCCTAAAATATTTAAATTTATTTTATATTTCATAAATTTAATTTATTTTTAATTTACCTGCATAACACTTTTAATATCTTTTGCGCCATTTTTAAGTGTTGATGATACTAATTTCAAGTAATCATTATTATCAAACAATGTCTTTAAAGCATTATTTACACTTCCATTTTTGAATAAACCTAAAATAAAAATACATTTTTCTAAAAACAGTCATAAACAAATTTTGGTTGGAATTATTGAAATTAAAATATGTTATAAGTAGGTTTTGTTGTGTAATTTTGTTAGTGTATGATTTTTTAGTTACTAAAATAGCTACTAGTTTTTACTACCTGCATAAATTGATACTTTATTTATATGGAAACATTTAAGGTTTTTCATATTTTTTGGTTCTGGAGTAAGTAATGGCACTGTTAAAATTACAACAGTAATTAAAAGTTATGTATCTATCATAGTATTATCAGTGAATGCTAGTTTGTAAATAAATATAGCAAGTACAAAATAAATGTAAGTTATTGTTGTACAAAGTAAATATTAATTATAATTTTAATTATTATAACGTCTTATTTTAGATTTAGGGTTTCAGTCCTAAACAGTAAAATAGTAATTTATAATTTAGAATGTAGTTCATTTTTAATTTATTATTTAAAATTAGATAAATTAATTTATTTGGTTTCATAAGCTGTTCATAATGCAATGTTAGACTAAGTTAAATTAATATAATATAAAATGAAAATGTGTACCTATCTTATTTAGTTACCTGTATTTGTTCTCAATACATTGCGGGGAAGTACTTTATTTACATATTCTGGTACTTTACTTAATTTTTCTAAAACTTGATTCCGGAATTTTCCTTAAACAAAAGTATTGTTAGTACAATGTTCTATATATATATATTAATAATTTATTAAATTAAATAAATAATATTTATTCATTTTTACCTAATATTCCTGATTTAGTTTCTAATTTATTAACACCAGTAAACATTGGTATCTTAGGTAGTGCATTTTTCTTTAACAATCGAAGTGGTGAATCATGTAGGAAAAATGGCAAGAACCGTCCATCATTGTAACCCTCTACAGCAGGACCAGCATTTAACAAACTACCTAATCCTGATAAGTATCCTTCTTTAAATAGTTTGTTGTTCTAAAAATTAGGTATAAAATTAATAACAAATTAACATTATTAACACGAATATAAAGTACCTAATATAAATGTTTGTTTTTTAAAATATTTTTCAAACCTGAAACTTAGAATCTGAGTTAATAACTGATTGAGTTGATAACATTTGTAAACATCGAATTGTTTCCAATGATGAAGATTGTTCACATCCAAGTAATGTGGTCATGTTTGAATATGTGTTTTTTGGTTCAGGATCTACCGCAAATGCCGACAGAGGGCTACCACTCATTGCAAAAATTCCACTGATCATTCCTATTTTATAATTTATTTATATCAAAACCATTTATTGAAAAAAAAATTTTATTTTAAAGAATATACCTTTTGTAAAGTCTGACATTGCCATAAGTGTAGCAGCACTAGCTCCACTACCTTGACCAGATAAAACAATTCGTTCTGGATCCCCATTAAAATAATTAATATATTCATTAACCCATTTCACAGCAGCACGCATATCAAATAATCCAACATTGCCAGGCAAATCTTTAAAATTACTTGTTAGCCAACCTAGTTTGAATAATACTTATTATGTACCTATACAATACTTAATAAATTCTATATTTATTATATTTATATTAATTAATATTAACCTAATGATCCAAGTCTGTATTGTATTGTAACAACAATCATATTATTTTTTACTAAATGATAGGGTCCATACTGTAGAGCTGAACCACTATGAAAACCACCACCATGTATCCAAACAAATACTGGTAAGTTTGAATTGTTTTGTTTAGCCTATACAAAATCATCAAGTTCAAAAATAATAAACATAGTTAAAAAAAATAAAACAACTTTACCAATGGAGTAAACACATTAAGAAATAAACAATCTTCACTCCCAATTATTCCATTGCCATCAGGACTCAACTGTGGGCAAGGAGGTCCATATTTGGTGGCATCAATTTTTCCAGAAAGACGGGTAAGGACTGGACGCTGAAATTATACGGTGTATATGAATATCAATGAAATAATTTTGGTCTTTCATGTATGTATATCTATATAGTTTCCCATATAGGTATTTACATATTATATAGAAAAAAGCTTTTTTGGGACCTTAAGTTTCTCATCTAGTAACTTCATGAAAGTTCAAACAACACAATTTATAATTAAACTAGTAAAGAGAATCTAAACGTTTCTGTGACATATTACCATACCTGAAATCTAAGTCTTCCTGTTGGTGGTTCTGCATATCGAATACCTTTGTATGCGTAATATCCCTCTGGTTCTTCAACACCAATTATTGTAGCAGATCTGTAGTCATCTTGCATTTGTATAGTGCTATCCATTTTTTGAGGAGGTTTACTGATGTTAAACCCATTTGATTCAGGAACTAATGCTGGATATCCACCCACAATTCTTTTTTGTCTTGAGAGACCATGACAAAGTGTTAAAATACTAAGCACCCAACTAATTTTTAACAACATGGTAAACAGAACTGAACTGATTAATGTGTAGTCTTCTGGTGACTGGCCACCAAAAACAATACTAACTATCAAGCAAATAGTTTGATGATGACGTTAGGATGCTATACAGTATTCATTATCTAAACATTTCGCCAAACCTGTTTACCTCGCTTAGTCAAGGTTAGTGTTTATTTTAATTTGTAAAATATGAATGATATGTTCGGTTTTACTGATACATTTCTACATAATTATGAACTAATGACTTAGATTTACCTACCTATTATATTGTTCTTATTGAATACGATTTTGATTATTGGGATCATTGGCCTCATTGCATATGTAATAATCGTTAAGTACCTAATTGTCATTTAATTACTATTATGAATCGTACTTCGTTTTTATTAGCACTTTCTTAACTCAATACAGTTATAAATTTGAGAAATTTATAATAGGTAGTTTTTTTCTTAACCACATTAAAAGTTAGTAAAAATAATTAAATAACCCCAGTTTATACTTAAATTTATGTTTTTGATAAAATATTTAAATTTTGAATGAAGCAATGGGAATATTTATAATGGATTTAAAATTGTATTTCTTGTTGAACAGTTTCTTCAATACCTAGTGAGATTACACTAATATAGGGTTACCATAATATTTTTTGACCAAATCCGGACATCAGTTCCGTTTCACCGGAGGGGGGGGGCTAAAAATTGAAAGTAAACAATATTGTTATTTCATTAATAAAATTTAAATTAGATTTATGAATAAAATGTCTACATAAGAGTTATTAGGTTAAATATGTTAAAACAATACAAATATGAAATATAAAAAAAAAAATAATTACATATTGTACATTTATACAGAGTAAACACGAAAATCTGTCACCTAATATAACATTTTGTATCAATATAACCATTTTAAACGATTATCTTTGTAAAATCCGGACTTTTTCAAATCTGAACGCCAATCCGGACAGATGTTTGAAATCCGGACTGTCCGGACAAAATCCGGACGTATGGTAACCCTACACTAATATTACAATGACTCAATAAATTGAAAATTGGAAATAAAAAGGGTACCTACCTATTATCTATACCTAAAATTGCTAATTTTTAATTTTTTTCCAGCAAGTGCAAATTCGTTGGATTTTTTATAAATAAATAATTTTGTGTTTTAAGAATTAAGACTTGAATTTTTAGTAAAAATTATTTTTTTATTAAAATAAATGATCTTTATATAAAAAAAACCAATATTTCTCAATGTATTCGTTTGTTTATTTTTTCATATTCAATTGCGATTTTATTGACTTTGAATATGCCTGATGTGAATTTTTAATTTGAAACTGGTCATCATTAATTTTAATTTTGTTATTTTATTATTTATTGTGGCAGGCAAAGACAATGCTCTAACTTAATTAATGAACAGGATTGAGTATTTAAACATGAAATTAATGAATACCAATTAATCTACTTATCTACAAATATCTACTTCAATATAATTTGTAAGAAATTGAAAATCGATCCAAAATACATTAATATAGGTACATATCAAATGTACTTCTGAAGCTGCAATCAAAACTAAGAGAGAAACAGAGACAATATAGTTGAACTTGTAAGGTTACAACTATCAGAATAATAAATATAAATATGACTAGACGCAATGTACCTAGTTGTAACTTACATGGCGTTTCATAAGGATATATAAAAAAATAGGGTCGCTAACCTATTGGACGAGACCATGAGGTCGGACCACAATAGGATTTTTTTTTTTTTTATTTGGAAAAATACCGCGTTAATCATTGAAGTTAACTTGACATTTTTTTTTGTAATAATTAAAATTTAATATGTTTGAATAATTGTATAACCGTGGTGTTGCTCCATTACCGCATAACATTCGATTACATAACATGTGGGATGGTCGTTGAGAAGACCGTTGTCCGTACCTTAATTACTAAAGATTTTTTGATAAGAACATATAAAAAAATTCGTGACCCCGTTGAAGACGGAGCACACACGAAAAAGACAATTTTTTAAAGTTTAAAAATTAATATGAGATTTTTATTTTAAGAGAATATTTTATGTTAATATGGGGCAAAAAATCGAGCGTTCAAAAACCTCATCTAAAATTAAAAGAAAAGGAAAAAATAAATATATTAATCAAAAAAAATAATAATACGCTTTTCAATTTAATGCGATGAACACGTTACACGTCCCGGATTTTTCACATAATTTTAACAATATGAAACGAGGCGGATGGTCTGGTACACATCCGTCACCGTTGTATAATTTAATAATTAATAATAATAACTTGGCTCACACATACATAATAATAAAAAAGTATACGTTACCAGCCCCGGAGGGCTAAAGAAGCTGCGGCCCAATTTGGCCGACGCCATAAAAGATTCGATCCGGATTACGTTTTCTATCAAAATATATATTATTATATATATATATATTCTGCCAATTGTACTGAACTGCCCAATGATCGGATAAGACTCATACAAACATATTTGAATTCGTCATGAAGTTGACTTGAAAACGACTTTTTTACTTTTTTGAATTATTATTTTTATACCCTTAAAAAATTGATTTTAAAATCTAAAATAATAATAAATTTATAATGTAAATAATATGAAATTGATAAAATAATTTGAAAATGTAAAAAAGTCGATTTCAAGTAAACTTCATGACTAATTCAAATATGGTTTTAGAAGTTTTATCCGATGTCCAAGGAAACCAGTATGATTGGCAAAAAATTGATTCTTTTCGAAAAAAATAGAACTAAATCATATTCCTCCCAACAGTGTTTATTGACTTGTGCATGCGCGTGTGGAAGTAACCCTCTTCTGCTAATCGTTGCCGCGCCAATTATAGTGCCCGCATCGTTATCAATCTGTTTATTTTATATTATACCCAAATGAAATATTGCAATAATTCAAAAGCCTATAAATAAACTCTCAATGATAAGACATAGGTAATTTTGTAAATGAAAATGAAAATGTTAGAAATCTGCTATATACTATAAATTATAGTACAGCTTAAATATAAAAAAATAAAACATAAATTCTGTGATATCTACATTCTTCAGAACGTTTTGCCAAAAAAACGTCGCAGAAAATATCTGATAAAAAAACATCGAGGAAATTTTAATGCACTTAAAAAATGGCGAAAAAATCGTACAACTGACATGGTAAATCAAAATAGCTATATATTAATTATGATGTGTATGTGATAGCTATTTTTAATTTATTAAATATTTATTATATAGACGGACAGAAATGTTTCAACATTGGAGAATGAACCTGGTTATGAAACTAATACTTCAATGTAAGTCAATACATTTGTTTAGAGTTTTGATGAACGATTTGTGTGGATAATCAAACTATGTTTAAAAATATATAATGATAAGCATTTAAATGTTTTATATAATTCTTAAAAATAAAACTTATGTGTTATATTTATAATCTATGATACGTATAATCAGCGGCGCACGCAGGGGGGTTCAAGGGTTTGTAACTGCCTCCCGAAATTTTCTCCTATGTCTAGGTTAAAATTTATAACCTATAATGTATTTAATTATAAGATCAATTCATATGTATACTTAAAATGAAAATTTGAAATTTTTATTGATAGCTTATATCACCCATTTGCAATAGAACGTATAATTCAAAAGATGTCTACTTTTTATAAGATATTAATATATATAAATAATATAATGTTTTATTAGCTTATTTTCGTAGTATGTCGCTATACACATATACTCTTATTATCTATCTATTCGTGGCTTGACCGAGGACTTCCACTCAGAACAGGCTTATAAGTTATAATTATAATCTTATATACATTTAATTAAATTTTAAAACGTAAATGATAATCTAATTTTTAATTTTATTATTGATGACTTTATTTATGATAAAATGTCGATTACGTCGGCAATAGTATTAGTAAAACACGTATATTACGTGTTGATCATGTTAAGAAAGATTAAAAATGTAGAAACAATTTTATCCCAATATTTAAACCGCTTACGAATTTCACACTTTAAAAATCATATGTAACAAAAATTACAGCACAAAAAAATAAAAAATAGCATAGGATTAATGATAAAATTAATATTTTAGTACCTAGCACAAATGTACAAAAAATTATAAATTAAAAACCAGCATTCTTTTGAACCACGAGTTATTAATTTCATTTCCATCATTTTCAATAAAACTAAAAACTATTAATTAAATAAAAAAAAGTAAAATCAATACACATCTAACATTAAACTTTCAATAAATTAAAAACCAATTAATACAATGTCATCATCAGATCGACAAAACAGTTGAACAGCACTAATAAAAAAAAAAAAAAAATTACATATAAAGTATTAAAACAAAATAATATAGTAAATCACAAAATATAATTATTAAGAATATAGTGAATAAATTAAAAACAAATTCTGAAATAGTTTCAGTAAATATATTTAATGCTCGTGTTTCACAAATGTAATTTGTGAAAAAACTTTAAATTTTATAAATAATAATATTCAAAACTTAAAATCCTACTCAACTATAATTTACACGAAACAAATTAATTAACTGATAACAAATTTGAAAGAAATCATACTTCCATTCTTAAAGAAAATAAAATTAAAATATGATTAAGAATGAGTAGGTACAAATATGATAAAGAATGGTTCCACTTACACGGACACGGACATTTTGGCGCGACCGTTTCGGCGCTGGATTACACTAATTTATATAATACACAAATTTACTTCTATAAAATTAATATTATAATTCACTTTTATAGATATTGTCAAAAAATTTACAATTTTAATAAAATATCTATATGTCCTATAAAATTTATTTTTGCCGTCCATACTTAACTTATCAAAAATATACATGTACCCACCGTGAACAAAGATTTCTCGATTGCGAAATGTTTCCATTATGAAATACAATTGACGATAAATAAACGTAAACGTAAACGTAAAATAATATAACTTCACCGAAGTAGAAGGAATACTGATCAGTGATCACGTGATCACGCAATTATCTTAGTATCACCGGTTCCAATAATAACAAAACTAGATAATAATATGTGAAAAATCCAAGACGATAAGCTATTGTGTTTTTATTAAAGTTATACTGCGATAAGGTAGAGCAGTACGAATGTTATAACCAGGGTTCGTAAGTTCATGCCCTAAAAAATGCCTAAATAAGCATGCATTTATGCACTTAAAATTGGCAAAATATGCTTTGAAATATGCCTTAAAAAGTTAAAAATATGCATTTATATGCACTAAATATCTAAAATTATGCACTTAAAAAATGCTTACTTAAATAAATCATAAATAATTTTTGAAATTACATAAATTATCTATTCAATTTTTTTATAGCTACATTTTATTTTTTTATCTCATAATTAAAAAAAAATAGATTTTAAATACTATTTAAAACTATTCTTGAGCCTTCATGAACTGTGTATAATGTACGTCTTTGTCAGTAATTAATTTTAAATCTGAACTTTTGGACAAATTTATTCATTAAATGTCCGAGTATCAAGAATATAAAAAAAAGAAAAAATAGTACAATTTCTATTTTTAATTTTATATATATTTTCCATTTAGATTTTTGATCGATACTAATAGAATGTTGTATAATATGCCCGATAAAATAGAAATATGCATAAAATGTCAAATAAACAAAAACATGCCAAATATGCGAAAACATGCAAAATAAGATTTCACATTTTTAACCGTGGTACTTTGAAATGGATTTCTGTGTCATCTAGCATTAAATACAACTTTGCAAAATTGATATGCAAATGCATGTACTTACGAGCTCTGGTTATAACTTATTAGTATAGTGTATACAATTTTAGAAAATAACACCTGGCGCTGAAACGTACCTCACGCCGAAATGTCCTAGATCGATACTTACATACATTTATAAAATTACATAAGCAAAATAATCCAATTTGTCCATTAATTTTGAAACTGCTCCATCATATAACCTTGCTAAATATTTAGATTCACTTGTAAAAAATAAAATAAACATGAATGAACTAACATTTCTATAAAAAATATTTATAATTTCGTTGAAAACATTAATGTTTAAACGGGTACAAAATTATTTCTTTATACGTTAAAAATGTATACACGTCCATTCCAAAATACGAAACAGTAAACATTTAAAAAAAAAATAAGCTTATACACAGTAATAAATTCAATACTAAGGAAATACTAGACATTCAATTTCCCTAAGGAAATACCTAGAAAATACGAATTTATATTAACAAGACTTAGAATCGGTCACACGAATATGTCACATAGTCCAAGGAAGAAACCGCAATTTGCTCAGCATGTGGAGTTATTTATATTTTTTCGATAACTCGTTAAGTTAAAAGTTAATTTGTAAAAAAATTAACGAGTTAATTAACTTAATTAAAATTAACTATCGTTTTAACTTAATTTTAACTTTTAATTCGTAAATGCCTAGCCTTGAAATTTACCATATCACAAGAACAAACCACAAAAACTCTTAAACAATAACCGAAATACTTAATGATCACCTTTACTTAAAACAGCTAGGATCATGGAATTCGTCAACGCCACCGACAGAGACGAAGATCTATTCAAGACTAGTATCGATAGTTATTATTTTTTTTTTAAATTAATTTTAAACCATTCATAATTATATAATTATTTTTATTATTTTTTTTTTTTTTTTAGCTAACCAAATTATATATTTTTAAATAAATGTAAAAAAAAATATAAGTATGGAAATATAATGTTTATATATTATTTATATATATTTATATATATATTATTTATTTGTTAATATCAATACATACACATATATAATAAATTATAATGTTAATTTTATTACAGATCAATAAAACGTACCAGTGGAATTTATAGGTATTTTTTCAGGTAGAAAAATAGTACCGGTGGAATTCACGTGTTACAAATCCAACCCTAAAATCGACTACCTATGAATCAGTGGAATTTACCATCACCCAGTGGCGTATCCAGGGGGGCACAGGGGCCATGCCCCCCCCTCGTTGGCTGTATTTACTAGATTTTATTTTAAAGATTTATATTTATTCGTATACATGAACGCATACTACAATAATATGCTTATACCAATGAATATTTTGCGGTTTTACCAGTAATCATTATTACCGTTATCACGTTTTGATAAAATTGCAACTCGTTGATTGGTCAAAATAATTTTATACAATCTACAATTGTTTTTATACACTAATAATTTTGTTTGGACTAACCCGTTTTTATTATTAAATAACTATTTATTATTATGTTACATAATTTATGTACATATATATTAACTTAAATAACTGACTGAAAATATAAATAAATTATTTTCATTAAAAACATTAAATATTTGGTTAATTTTTTTTTATCTTTTTGGTAGTAGGTAGTGTATAAGGTAAAATTTCAGACAGTGTGTGCCCTCCCCCCTAAAAAAAATTCTAGATACGCCACTGCCGTCACCCCTATTAACAAATACCTGATTACTGCAGCCATCATTACATTATATGGTCTACCTCAGTTGTGCCCAACTTGCGAAGGTGTTCAATGGCCCATTACAATTTTCTTTAAATAAAACAAAATATTAAAAAAAAAAGTAAAATTATCATAAATTACATTTTTTTTTAAAATTTATTTATTTTCGAAAATTTTCAAATAGAAATTTCATGATATAACCCGTGCACTTAAGAGCATACTGATCAAATTAATGTGCAACTACAGTGTATACCTCAATCTATAATCTTTTTAGTAGTCAATAAAATATTTTAAAACAAAATTAATATGTACCTAAATGTATAGTGTATACTTACTATTATTATTAGATTAATACTGATATTATTCATGCCTAATTTTATATTTGGTGGCCCGTTCTAAGATAATTATTTACCAAAGTGGTCCGCCGAGGAAAAAAGGTTGGGCATCACTGGTCTATCTATACCAACTGTGTAAAAGTGTATATTTTAATATTTCAATATTTTTATATTTTATAAATCAAAATTTTTTTATATACTTACGTGTAACTTATACTTTTAGTATCTAATATATTTAAATTGTTTGATAATGTAATAGTTGACATTTTTTTTTTTTTTATTATTCAAACCATGGATGTAGGCATTTTTAAGTTTAAAAAAGAATTATCGAACTAGTTGACACGTAGGGAAAACAAATTCCAACCAAAATTTTTATTTGACACGCTGGTACAAAAAGGTTCACCATCCCTGACACATACGATAGTTAATACCCATGCGGAGAAGCATTAAAGATCTTCATACATATTTTATATGTAGGTACTTTATAATATATATATTACACAATATACTTGATACCCTTCATCAGCTATCATATATATGAATGTGCAAAATATTTGCTTGAATGAAGAATTAATCATAAAGTCTGAACATGTACATTATTGTTCATAAATACCTATACAAACACAGAACACATACATTTAACATTAGTAGTTCAGACATTGATAATTCAGCCGTTAATATTTTCCTTCATTTGTTATATACCAATTTGTGTAAGAAATTATCAACTATTTATTCATATACCAATCTATTATTTTGAAAATAAACAAAAAAGTTTTACAATAAAACAGTAACGCGCTATATTTTAAATAAAATGAAGAATATATTTTATTTGGGAACGCAGCTAACTTATCAAATTTATCGACTTGATTTTATACTTTTTTTTTTTTTTATATACACAAAAAGTGATTATAAAGGAGAGAGCGTTCTAAATAAATGTAAGTTTTTCAAAATTTTTCCTGAGAGCAAGAACAAAAATTAATTTGTATGTTTTTATTCGTTTCAAAGATAATGTTTATTTACGATTTTTATTTATGATTCTGAACAAAGTGAAAAAAGTAATTGTATTTTTCTCGAACTCCCAGACAGGTCTTATACATGTAATTATTGTTTCACCAAGTTTTAAAGCATATCAACTCAAGCAAATCATTCATTATCATATATATATATATACATATAAATTAATTTTTTGTATTCCTATTCAAAAAAATCTTCGTATTTATTTATAAATTTATAATAATGTATAAGTTTTTTTATAATTTCTATATAGTTTCCGTTATATTTTAAAATTGATGATAATAAAATATTATGTTCATATTGAACGTAAATAAAAACTATGGTAATTTATTAATTTCCTTAAATTAACTAGTGATTTTGTAATTTTTGATTTTTTAAAATGTGTTTCTAATGTAATCTATTTTATTATATTAAGCGCTAAAAAATAATTAATAATTAATGAATTCGTTTATGTTGAGTAATAAACTATTGTTAGTATTTTTAAAATCGATGGAAATTGTAAGCATGTCACGGTTAATGAAAATATAGTAATACATAAATATAAACTATGTATACTTATTTAAAACATTTAAATAGAATACAATTATTTATGGGTAAAAACAATTAATATTCAAGGGAAATTAAAATAAATGCACAATGCCCAGTATTTGATAGACAAATGAGCGCATTATTAGGTTTTACTATGTCAACGGTTAATAAATTTGATTTTTACTATAAATAAATAAACTTGATTTTTTTTTATGATATAATACATATGGTTATTATGTTATTGGTAAACTCTATTATATTAATCGAATAGACGAATATAAGCTGTGTAATAAATATATCAATGGTCATTGACAACTAAACCATTATTTTTTTAGATATATATTTATATTTCTAACTATTGGTCAAGAATTCAGCGTCAGGGTCAAATTTTATAAACAGTAGGTAGGTACATGTCGTATACAGGTAGGTAATATACACAATAGACCATCTTTACATTTTGTATTGTATACCATCCGATATTCATACGACCTCCAAGATGATATTCTTAGTATTTGTTGAAAATAAATTTATAATATTGGCGAATAAAAGAAGATACAGTTTTTTTTTAAGTAAAATAAAATACTTTAATATTAAGTTGTTTGAAAATATATAAGTGAATAGGTACTCAATATTTTAATTAAATCGGATACATATATGTAAAACTTAAATTTAGTACAGATAGAAATTTCTGAAAGTGAAGTCAAATTAAATAAATTTATAAATTTCTATATTTTTATTAAAAAATTGTATAAGTCCACCATTCAAGTTTTTTCATCATTTTTACATACGATATTATGGAAATATATCATAAATAATTAGATGTTCTAGGTATAACTGTCATTTAATTTATATTTATTTGCATTAACCGTGACTAATATGCCTATAATTGTTTACACAATTTAAAACCAATCAAATATTTGTAATTTTTTTTATTGTATTCATTATAGTTATTAATTTGAATGAACACGTAATATCTTTTAGTTGTATTCTTTAATATTTAATTATTATTTTGACAAATAAAGGCTTATAAACATAAATAATTGTATTCATATAGCGTACATAGTCTAGTAAAAAAATATTCACTACATGTAGTTCGTTAAAATACAACCAGTCATGCAGGTGTTTATGGTGGGAGACATTCACTTTCCATTTCAGGCCTCACCGACAGACAGGTAATATCTCATTGGACCCACCCATATTAATTCTCTCTCTATTCAGTATCACAAATGCAGCGCGCCAAACATGATGCGTACTGACTCTGCAGCAACTCGAATATCCCATATAGGGCTTGTGGCCCGTAGTCCAGAGGGCCACGCTGCCAAGACAATGCAAATTAAGGGCCACGAGGATCAATGGGTAGACATACAAGCTCATACATTTAAAAACTGGGTTAACGAGCACGTGTCTCCATCAAATCGAGTAGAAGACCTAGCAGAAGATTTGAAAGATGGGCGTGTTCTGTGCGAATTAGTTGAAAACTTACAGAATAAGAAGATACTAACGTGGACTTATAATCCTGGAAATCGACATCAGATGTTAGAAAATGTGTCAAAAGCTCTGATGGCTATAGCAGATGATGGTGTGAAGCTCGTTAACATTGGTAAGTATTAAATTTAATTTTAAATAAAAGTTTAAAATATTTATAAATGCATATTTTGTTTGAATAGACAAAGTTAAAATATTGAATGTATTCAGGTTATTCAATTATAATTTTGATGTCGAACAGGTGTTGGGTGGTATCACCAAATAGGGAGTGTTATACTAAATACATGAAGTATGCAATAGTTAATCATGTGGGTGTATTGACCTCACATGCTATATTCAAATTGCCATGCTTCTATTATCGAGTAGTTTTATATATGAATAATATAATTAAACTAGGCGGAGTATTTTCTTTTTATATTAGATAATATATTTTTATTGATACAAAGAAAACCTATAATAATAATAATAATAATTTTTAAAAATCAAATAAATTAACAATTGTTTGCAATGCAGAATGTTAAACATAAAAACTATCTATTTAAAATGAATATTGTATTAGTTATTGGTATGAATGGATTGGATTTTACATTAATTCATATTTTAACTATTTTAACTAGAATTGTTAAAATTACCACTTTTTAATTCACGACGTCATGTTCTTTTAGGAAATGAAGATATAGTTAATGGAAACCTGAAATTAATATTAGGCCTTATTTGGTCATTGATTGTTCGTTATCAAATCGGGCGGTCGAAATTTCCACCTAAAAAGCTCATGTTAGCTTGGCTTAAGGTAATATATATATATATATATTATACACCTATAAAATAATATCTTAATGTTTATGTATGTTTTTTTTTTTTTTTTAATATTTAATAATTAATTATTTTATATTATTACATTAACACATTTTAGTCAGTATTGCCAGAATGCCGTGTGAATAATTTTACCACAGACTGGAACTCAGGAATATGCCTCTCTTCTTTATTGGATTATTGTGAACCAGGATTATTTCCCCATTGGAAAAATTTAGATAGTAATGATAGCGTGAATAACTGTCGTCGTGCTATGGAATTAGCTCGAGATCGGTTTAATATACCCATGGTACTGGAACCCGAATATTTAGCTTCACCTTATTTAGACGAACTGTCTGGTATGACTTATTTGTCTTATTTCATGAAAGAAAAAAGTCCTGGTACTAAAGCTACTCTAAATTGGGTCAACAGTCAGTTAAAAACACATACTGTATCTAATTTCACTGTAAGTATTTATTAAACTCGAAAATAGAAATATGCAAATAGCAAATGTAATTATTAGCTGTATTTTAGACCGACTGGAAAGATGGCATTGTTTTATGTGAATTGACTAAATCCCTTGGTGTTCCTGTCAAGTATCAAAAATATGACGACCCGGATGTCTGGGAGTCTAACTTAAATGCTGGTATGTATATGCAGAATTGTAATTCGATAAAAATATAATTTTGTTTTTTTTTATCAATATTTCGGTAGGAATGAATGCTGGTAAAAAATTAGGAATTGAACCCTTATTAAAAGCAAAAGACGTATCTAGTCTTAATGCTTCACATCTGGGTATGATGTCTTATGTTTCCAACTTCCAATGGGTAAAACCACGAACTCGACCATCACACACCGTACGTGCCCATAGTGACACGCATACTACCAGAGTGTACAAACCAGTAGGTTGATTGAATAAATATGATATTTTTATTACAGATCAATTTAAACTAAAATTCTAAATCATATGTGTATTTTTAGACTAACTTTAAAGTAACATTTTTGGATTCAGAAGTAGATCCAAATGATGTGACAGTAGAAATAATTGGACCGGAACTCAATACTATACCGTGTAATTTAAATTTAAAATCCAACGGAGGCACATGCACGTTCGTGCCACTCATAATTGGAATGTATAAGGTATACATTTGTTTTCCCCCTATCCGTTGTTACGGTTAATGATTTTAATATTGTTTATTATAGGTTACGATTTTTAATGGCGATGAGGTAATACAAGGGTGCCCAATATTTATACGAGCTATGCCCGAAGTATCTGAAATAAAACACTCTGGTATGGAACCATGTGCAGTTGGATCGATTGTTGAAGTGCAGGTATATATATTTTAAGTATATATTATTCTATAGTGTTATATATTAAACGTATGTTTATTATTGTTTTCGTATTTAGATAAATTGTAATGGAGCTAAAGCTCAAAATATTCAAGTGTTAGCCATGAGTCCAGATGGTCGAGAATTAGAATGCCCTGTAAAAGAATCAGGAGACGCGTACCGAACTACGTTCCAACCAGATGAACCCGGGGAATGGACCATAGCAGTGAAACACCGAGGACAGTTAATTCAGGGTAGTCCTTATACATGTTTTGTATTCGATCCAAATGGCATAAAAGTAAAAGTTTTGTAAAATAAAAATATCGAATTAAAAAGCTAACTAGTTGTTGTTTCATTTTCAGTTACTTGGCTTGGATAGACCAGCTATTGCAGGAAGTATAGTTAATTGGACTTTAGATGCCAGAGGAACTGGTGGTTTGGGGAAAATAGAAATTGATATTGTTCATGATAAACAATCACTTCCTCATACAATTGACCATTTAGGAAATTCCATTTATAATGTTTCTCTTCATACAAGAAGACCTGGAAAATACAAAATTTATATTTATTTTAATGGAGCAACTGTTAAAGGAAGGTTAAACAATTAATACATATTCAATATATTCAAAATGTTATCAATTTTTCCTTAATGTTTGTGATTTAACAACCGTGGGTACTAAAAATTTAACTTCCTTGTCTAATTTTCATAATAACGATTTAATCACCCGAAGTTTACTTTCTAATTTCTTCAATAACTTGAATTCCCTTATAACTTTCTATCTTAATTTCAGCCCTAGTAGTTTGTTTTCCTTCTCTCCCCCACTCTCTCTCTCTCGCTCTTTCACTCTCTTTCTCACTCATACACATACGCACACACACACAGACACTCTTTCTATTTATACCTTTTCCTTAAACAATGCATTTTAATCCCACTCCTCATTAGATATTTATTTATTTTCATTATTTATTTAATACATCACTGAATATACTAACTAGTATGTCACTAAGATATTATAATATAATATTTTACCTACTTCTATCGTTTGCATAATTATATTATATTAACTATAAATATGTTTAAACTTTTTATCAAAATATCAACAACAAAATAAATATAATTTTTTTTTTTATGATTATTATTTTAAATTAAAAGTAAACGATTCTATGCAGGGCTTATGAAAAATCATAAATACAGTAGAATCCGCTTATAACGATCTTCAAGGGTCCTAATGAATCAGATCGTTATATACGGCATCGTAATAAACGGTTTCTACTGTAAACTAAACGAGCATATTTCATTATATTATTTGTTTACAATTGTCTTCCTATTGGAAAAAGAGACACCTAATTTAATTAATGAAGAATTAAAAAATTACCCATTTAAAATACAATCTGAGATTAATTACCAATCAATGAATGTACTGAATATAATTTATCGAGATTTTTTATTCTCTACTCAGTATTTAGATAGGTAGTAATATTTTTACTATCAAATACTTTAACCACTAGAATTTTATAACAATTAGTATATAAATATAAAATTAAAATTATTATGATGCTATCTAAATTTTCTAGAAGTATACAATTTCTATTATTTAAAATATGTTGTAGGAAGTCCATTTCCTTTGAGAGTTGGTACAAAAGAAGATATAAAGCGGCATAAAAATATAAGTAAGTTGTTATTCGAAGTAAAACTTGAAAATTATTTCTTTGTTTGTTGAATAAATGTTCAAAAAAAAAAAACAAATTATTTGATATGTATGTATAATTAATTTATATATTTTTGAAAATCTATTACATAAAAATTATAAATAAAATTAAGAAATATGAAATTTACTTATAAATTATAACTAAAATAATAAAATATATTTTTTAGCACCTACTAAATTAGTCAATGGAAACAACTCTTCGGCTTTCAGTAAGATGATTTACCTAATTTCGTATAATTTATACTATACATTGACGTCAATATGTTTCAGATGACTTTAATTCATCTAATGAATACCATAAAATCGGGTTGCTTAGACCTATTTCACCTTTGCAATCACCAAAATTCACTTCTTCTCCTATCAATCATCATAGCAATGTATATAAAGTATGTTTCATTTTTTAATTATAACAATTATATACATAAAAACAACATAAAATACCAACATTAATCTTAAATAATTTTATTTTTTTTAAATAGTCAACTAATTTATCGGAATCTGGATTTCATAGCATTTCATCTCCTTTACATTTAAATATTCCTAGTTCGCTTTCTCCAAACAATAATTATATTTCACCAAAAAGTGCTTTATCTCCATCGAAGTCAAAAAATAATGGTAAGTGATTTTTTGTTGTTTTTTTTTATAGTGATTTTAACTTTTTTTATTTAGATATAGTTTTTGGGGAAAATATGCAACTAATGCCAATAAATAGACCTTCAACTATTTATATAAATTCTGATGAAGTACTCGCTAATATTAATGTTGCAGTCATTGGTATGTTATTTATTATAAATAAATTATTAATAATAATTATGTAAAATATAGTTTTTTTCCTAAAATGTTTTAAAAATAATAGGCCCATCCAATAAGATGATTCCTGTTAGACTGTCTAGGAATATTGCCCAGGGTCATATTTTGGCACAATTTACAGCTGAACAAATTGGAGAACACTCGATTGATGTAAAAATTAATGGTACTAAAGTTACTGGTTCTCCATTCAGGTAAATTAAAAATAAATATTTAGGAATTATATATTGGAATACAAACATAATGTCTACTATGTTTTTATAATGGTTTTATGAACTTCATATTTCTCGATCTACCGAGGTATGCACTGTATAATTATTGTAGCCAGTGCCGGATTACCCATTAGGCGGAGTAGGCGCCCGCCTCAGGACCTCATTCATTTAAGGGGCCCTGTGAAAACGAAAAACTATATTTTTTTTTTACCCGTATAATACCCGTATTTTATTTACGAATTTACGGGAAAAAAGTCATTATGAAATATATATTAAGTTGTAGGTATTATATGCAGTAATATTAATAAATAATTTTGAAAAAAAAAAATAGAAATAATACAATAATTATTTAATTTTTTTCGCAAATAAAAAAATTTAATAAACATGATTTTATTTATTAATAATACTCGATTATTATTAAAGCTGTTTATTTTAATTATTGAATAGTAATTTTACATACAGATGTAGGTATGTAAAAAATAATTTTGTAGGGCCCAAAATTGTAATTACCTAGGGGCCCACAAATGTTTAATCCGGCACTGATTGTAGCCAATTTAAATAAAATACAAGCCTGGTTCTAAAAATCCTAATACTATTTTTTTTTAAAAAAAAAAAATTGTCAGGAGTCATGCTTATGACGTAAATGCCATTAAAGTTGGACACATACCAAATGGAATTGTTGGAGAACCAGTTGAATTTGAGAGTAATTATAATTCTGTACATTTAAATTTGATCATAAAAAAAGATTAGTTTATTATAATTTGTTTATTATTTAGTTGATGGATCCGGAGCAGGGTCAGGAAATTTAGAAATTCTTGTAAATGGAGGACATGTTACTAGTTTTGTCCGAAATTTGGGCAATCAAAAATTCTTGGCATCATTTGTCCCACATAAAGCACTCGTTCATCTAGTTGATATGAAATTCAATAATGAACAAGTACCAGGTAATAATTTTGTTTATTTATTCGAAATTATGTTGTTCGGAAAGTTAGAAATTGACAAGATATTTGTATTTTTCCTCTTATATTATTTTCCTTTTATAAATATTAATATATGCATAATTTCTGAATTGGTGGAAATGTTACCCTGTCGGATTTAGTGAATGTAAATGTGCTAATTTATACATACTGTTAACAAAAATGATTACAAGATTTAAAATGGAAATAGATTAATAGATTTTTTGCTTGATTGGTTTTCAATTCAATTTCGAATCACAATTTCGAATGAACAGTTTTGGTATGCTTAATATGTAATACTGTATTAAACTGTATACTCAAGTAGCATTACTACATATTCATTGTTTTAAATATTGAGAAAGAGGTTCCCACGGTTTATTCAACGTAATTTTCTAAAGTAACTATAATTATTATAACTATCCGTGTTAGTTTAATAATTAACGATTACTGAATGTCTGAATTTTGTTAACATATATAGTTATTATAGGAACATTGTTATTTTGCATGGGTAATTAATTATGTAAACTAAAAAATAAGTCAGGTTAATTCATATTTTAAACGAAATGTTAAAATGCACAAATTAAAAAAAGAAATTTTCACTGTTGTATGAAAAGAAAATTATTTATATGAATATGAATATTTTTGCATAAGAATATGAAATTTAGAGATTATATTAATGTGGAATTTTCTCCAAATTTATATAAATGTACTATACGGTTGTAAATATACTTGTACGTTATTTCTTAACAAAATAGAATGAATTTAAATTTTTCTTTTAGTTTATTGAAAAATATCATAATTTTATGAATAAATATTTGTATTTGTTGTTATTTTACGACTAGGTATATAAAAGATATATTTTCAAAACTTAAAAAAAAACTTAAATTTGATATGCATATTAAATTATATTTTAACTTTCCAAATTCAGATGTAAAAACATATTATTATATACGAGTACTTAAACAATCATTGGTGTATGCGTGGATAAGTACAATCTAGATTATGAATAAACCTACTATATGGCTGAATGCACTTTGCTCTAAGAATTATTTTTTTGTTTTTGCGTTAAAAGTAGGAGGAGATGTACTTTATTATTAAAGTTGTTTGCATTGTCATCACAATTATTATTATTTTGTTTTTTAGATTTTAAGAATGATGTGTGGTCATGTATCATATGAATAATTTATATATTATTAGTAAATTTAAATCAATAATTATATAAAAAGAAAACCAAAAATAAAACTTAGGAATAAGTATATAGTTTAATTAATTACTGTTTAATTAAACATAAGTGTAACATATGAATAGTTGAAAGTTAACCTTTCAGATTATAATTTGATAAAAAAAAATTTGTTTGTATATTTTTTTGCTATATATCTAATACATAATAATCCCTAAACATTTTTATATATTAAAAATATATGAAACATATTAAAGTATCAAAAATAATAATATACCTTGGATAATTAAGTTAATACAATATAGGTATAAAAAGGCGTATTTTCAAATTTTTTATTGGAGGGAGGGTACAAAAATGTTTTTAAAAAATAAGTGATTTTATAATATTATAAAATATATTATTCTCAGGTGTGAATGAACAAAGGGGAGGTTAGGAGTTCATGCCATTCCTCCGAAATATTATAAAATAGTTTATAAAAATATGACTTGAACTAGAAATCTAAAAATTATTTCATAGTTTTCCATGAGACTTATATAAATATATATATTTTATAAAATGGGTAATAAAGCATGATATTTATCAACATTTAACATTTTACGTTTTTTCAACTCTCCCCTCCCTAAAAATTATTTCTGCGTTCACCTCCGATTAATCTAAAATTAAAAAACTTATACATTGTTATAATATTTATAACTTTGAAAATACATCAAATTTCGTGAAGCCTCGTTAATTCGTTTAACAACTGTTACAATGGTTCATGAAAATAATTTAATTTGAGCTACATGTTGTAAATATGGTTAACTAAATTTAATTTTGAACTTTTAAATCTAAAGTTTAAATTTAAATTAAAGACTAAACACAGGTCATGTAAACATTTATATAAAAATATGTATATAAAAAAAAATACAATAATAAAATAAAAATAATAAAGTAATTCATAAGTAAATTTACCTTATAAATTTTGTTTCGTACAAGTCCTGTTGTCTTGATTAGAATTGCCCATGAATTAATGACCAATAATATTTATACCAACTTGAAAAGTTACCTACATTAAATTATGAAATATATCAAAAAAAACTGCTCTTATATTTATTGTCATCGGTCTTACATATATTGCAGCAGTTCCCAAACTTTTTTGGGTCACGCATCCCTATGACACAAATAATCACGTCCCCAATAAAACATTTTTTGTTATTTTAATATTAGCAAATTATTGACAGTCAAATGATAAATATATTGTAGTGCAATGTACAAAATAAATATTTGCCTTGCACCTCCCAAATAAGACATGCCCTCTCAATTTGGGAACCGCCGATATATTGGAACCAGATACGTGTGTAAGGGGGAGATTTGGGGGTTCTAACCCTACCCCATTGAGGATCTTTTTACGTACATTTTTGCTAAGAAAAAACTTAGTCATCATTATATAAAAGTTAAACTGACTTGAAAATTCATTCGTAGTTGGTGTCTATTTTAATTTAAACAGTGTCAATTTTCTCGACTTGACTTCTCTTTCTATTGAATTTTCACGCATTTTCAACTTACTATCGATTATCGTTGTAAATACATTTATTGACAGAACACATTTTCACTAATAAGTCAGGTGTTCAAGCTGTTTAGACATTTGTTGGCATTTACTGATTTTAGATTTTTTTTTATTAATTTCTTTTATCAAACATAACATGTATAATTTTTACCCCCCCTCCTCTTACGATTCCTATACACGGGCCTGATTGGAACAGTAACGATTTATTACTCTCAAAGCAAATATTTAACATATAATGATTTCTTTGACAGTTGATTATAGTTAAACTATAGTATGAAGGAAATATAATTTATTTATACTCTAAAATTATAGTTTGAATTTTAAGGTAGGTACCACAAAATATTTCATACGTATATAATATAATTATGTTATTGTATTGAATAACAGGACACTGAAGTATTTTTTTTTTCATGTGGTAGGTATTGAATTATCAAAATACACATTTTTGGAGCATGATAACATTTTGATTTTTCTATGATAAAATATATATTTTACAACAAATAAGAATATACAGATTTTTTAAATTCATAATTCATTTAACATAATTAAGTTAAAAAGCCAAAATTGACTAGTTATTACATTTTTAAATTTGAACGTATCATATTGACAGATAAATATAGAGCTAAGAACACGAAAAGAAATAATTTATTCAAATTTCAAATCTTATAACATAGTAGTAACCTACCTATAAGGTAATAGTTACTTTTATGGATAGTATATGCTTTTTAGTTTGGTCATAAAAATCCAAAACCCAACTTATTAACCAAAAAATCATAGCTTAGGTTTTGTATAAATAGGTTGGTAAGTATGTAATATAACTACGTGTCTAAAATATCTTATGATTAGTTTGGTTTGTTTACAAAATATTTCAAAATAAAACGGACTGAAAATAAATTAGTGTTAGTTCATGTGTATCCGTCGTTACTATCGTTGTTGATGGTTAACTTTTGCCAAGGTGGCAAGGTCGATTAGAATATCATTGCATCAAACATTAAATGAGTATCGCGTCTGCAGAGACGATAAAGAGGCTAGAAAGTGCAAGTGCTATTCCAATCAGTTGCGAATGTGAAAAGATGAACTCACTATAGAAGACTGGTGACGTTCACTTGTAATCGTGCGATACTGTTTGACATATTTCGAATTCTTGGTGGGAAATTCGATGCCGGAAGACATTCCAGTTGGCGCGCCTGCGTCTTAGGAATTTATCTCAACCATCGATAGTGCACCGTTGTTACTTGTTCGCCTACATGGATCATTCTCGATTTACCGAATAAAGATAGGTACCCAAGCTATAACGCACAGACGATTCAAAACGCCAACGCCGTTGCGTTTACTAAATTTATAATTTAGGAATTATTAATACGATACGAACGACTCCAAATCGTGTACGATATTATTTTCACGAAATCTGTTCCCACTCTTATCGATTACGATACGAGTTCCGTGAATGGTACCGGTTGAGTGTTTCGAATTCATGCGCCTTCAAAATCGGATAACACAAATATCGTGTCAACAACCGGGCAAGATATCGATTTTTTTATCATGTACACGTCAAACAGGTAGATGCAACAGGTTGGTTGGTGGTATATTTTTCGTGATTAGTAGTGTGTGTGTGCTTGGTTCGTTTTGTTTTTATTATTTTATAGGTTTTTTTTTTTAAATATTTTTTTTTCTTTTACAGTATTTTAGTATTTTTCAGTGTCATTAATTTAAAAAAAATGTGTTTTAATTCGCGTTATTTATTGTTTCGGTACATTGCTCATAGTGAAATGAAGAAGGAGTACTTATTGAATTTTATGTAAAAAGTAATTAAAAAGATAGTTTTTACACTATACATTATACCAATATAACACAAATGTTCTTATTTTGAATGAGTGATTGAGTACTGAAAAATAATAATATTTTATTAACTTACTTAAATATTTTAAAATTTAGTTTTTGTTCTTTATTTCTTATTTAAAATATTTAACATTATGTACTTATTTATGTTGTATAATGTCCGACTTGATCATAGTATCATATTGCTCATTCACTTTATAATATACTATTTAATAAAAACTGAATTTCGAAATTACATTAAAATTAAGATGTATTGTATGTTTTACAATTTTATCATTTGATTAGTAGTACAATCATTTAAAAATAATTATGAAAATAGAATGTTAGGTTTAATAATTTTAACTCTTAAATCATATTATTAACTATAAGAAAATATTAATTTCAAAATATGTAGTTTATCAACGGGATACTTAGCTACTAGGTTTATATACCTGAAATAGTAGGTAGGTATTTAACCTATTGCAGAAATGTATTATTTGGATGATAACCAAAACCACTTTCTAAAAATAAAAAAAACCAATTGTAGATACTTATATATAATGTGCAATAATGTATTATGTTTTTTTAATTTTTCTTATTATATTTATCAATACATAAATTAAAAACTAGTATTTTAAATTGTTTAGCTAATGTTTATCTACCATTTACAAAGTTTAATAATTCTAAAGTACTTTTTGTTATCTATTTAAAATTTATATTTATAATTTTATAGCTTTTTTTTTTTTTTGACCAGTTTATTAATAATGAATAATTGTATTATACCCAATATACTTTTATGGAATACTAAAATTATGAAATAGGTTCTTTCATAATACAAAATTAATTTTAATAATTTTATTATTATTGCTTGAATTGTCATATGACTTAAAAAATACTAACATTTATTAATGTATTACTTATAATCATTATTAAGAATGAAATGTAATTATAGGGATATATAACTAATAAAAAAAAAAGTACCTACCTACTTAAAATGTATAACAATATCTTTAAGAATGCATCAAATAATAATTTGATAAGCAAAGTAAATATTTAACTATTTTATTATCTATATCTTATGTTACATATATTATAATTATATATATTAATTATATTATATTATTTTTATCATTTTTTTATTTTACTTGAATGTTTTAAAAATTGTTTTTTGTAAGTATAACTGATTTAATTGAAGGTATTACTTAGGCCTTAGAATATTTTTAAAAACTGATTAAGCTATTAAACTACAAACAGCATTTTATTTTTGAGTTTAATAGAAATAAATAAATAATTGTATTTAATTTAATATACTGCTGACCTAACCATTAGAAAATTCTTAACAAATGATTGTTCATATTTTACATTTTGAATTATTAATTTATACGCACACCCACATGTTTTTTAATAAGAGGTGTTGTAGTCATGGTATTGAATTATTCATTTTAAAATTGAAATCTTTTATATGTACTGTTAGTATGCTTTCATATTATACAATTTTAATGAGAAAATAATATTTTTCATACTGATGTACATTAAAAAAATATATATATATATTTTGAACCATGTATAATTCATTATTAAACATTAATAAGCAGTAGCATCAGAATCATTATATTTTTAGTAGAATAAATATAATACAAAATTAATAAAATCTTCTTAAAATCTTTAATATATTAATTTTTCAAGAATACTTATTGATATATTGCAAGTTTGCTACAAATCTAAAATGTTTTTTTTTCACTTACCTATCAAATATTAATTATGAACATGGCTACATTAAATGTAGTTCCATTTTTAGTCATTATAATTTATAATATATTATATATCTATAATAAAAAAGTTTAATTTTGTTATCAGGTTTTATTTTATTTCTGGTTCAGATTTGTTTGATTATAATATAATTTGATAAAAACCATGGTAATATTTTTATTCAAAAATTATGGAATACAGTTATCGGTAATGATGTATATATTTTTTTTACTTAACTGAATTTAGTAAAAGCATCGTGTTTCGATATTTTTAAATGTTTTATATCACCACATAAAACAATATTTTTTCTTTTTCATAATAATATGTCTTTCATAAAATCTATTAGTCTTACTAAAATTATAAGTCTGCTTATATCGTTACGTATGATAAAATGTTTATTTTATTGTTTTTATTCTGTAGGGGGTAGGAGGGTTGTAAAAATATTTCAACAATTAAGATTAGTATTAAATATTTTATTAATTTTCATCATATTTTATTATTAGTGTTTGTCAATAATTGTAGACAAACAGGTACATAATAAAAAAAACTTTTTGCTGAAGCCAATTCCTGAAGGAAAAATGTATTCTTAGTAGATATCTGCTAAACAACATTTTGCCTAATCTCAAACTTATATTATAATATATTATTTTATAACATCATTGTCATATTTATACTAAAAAATTCATTTTAATTATTTAATTTATTGTTATTAAAAATATTTCTAAATTATATTTATTTATAGGGAGTCCCTGGGAAGTAACAATCATGAGTGGAGGATCATATAGTCCGAAATTGAGTATTCTTGGTGATGCTGTAAAATTGGTGCCTGTTGATTCAGTAGCAATATTTCAAATAAGTGCTATTGGTTTTCATCGAGATGATGTACAAGTTAATATACTAAGTGAGTTAATTAAATTAAATATTAACCCAGTATTATATTTGATCATGATATGTATTTTTAATAAAATATGATTTATTCAATATATATTATTATATGTATGTACAATCATTTATGAATAATTGTATAGCTTTTATAATAAAAAGTGTATAAAGTATTTTAATATAGATCAACATAAATTTTCTAGGTCCAACAAAACGAAATATCCAAGCCAAAATCATTAATGAAGGAGGAAATGGAATATTTAGGATAGAATTCATTGTAGTTGAAGTGGGAACACATTTAGTTGATGTTAGTGTTGCTGGTCATAAACTTGGAACTGGTACATTATTAGCTAAAGGATATAATTCTGCTCTGATTAGGGTGACTGATGTTTCTGATGCTGTTGTTGGCCAGCCATGTCAATTCAGAGGTATGTTTAAGAGTAACTTAATCTTTTTTTATGTTTGAAGTTTAAATATAGGTATTGTATATTCTTAAATTAGTCGGTTGGCTAATTAAACCATCTGATTATACATTAGATGATTGAATGACACATAACTAACCTATCAGATTAATTTTTATAAAATAAGCATGTTTAAATTATGCCTTGTTGTAGTAAAAGAGTAGTGACATTTAAAATAAATGTGCATTTTTATTTATCTTTAAATATAAATTAAAAAATATGTTCTGTAACCAAAGGTTTTAATTTTAGTTATGAAAAGTTAGAGTTACGTTTAATTAATTTCAGCTAATTTAAAATTGTATTATTCTGATAGATGTAATTTAGTTTACTTGAATGCATTCATTTTTGTAACACATAGTTACATTTTGGTCAAAAAATCTTAATCTACTTGATTTTAAAATTATGGTGTATAATTTAATTATGTATTGTCTTTAATCAAAGGAAAGATAAGATATTTATGTAGATTAAAAAATAAATAAATATTTATTTTTAATTTTTTGGTTATTATAGTTGATGCTAGTGATGCAGGCGAAGGTCAATTGGAAATATCAATTAATGAAGGGGAAGTACCAAATCATGTGACTGTAGTTGGAGGTGGAAGATGTTTAGTATCTTTTACTCCCGAACATGTAAAACCTCACATGATTGACATAAAATTTAATAGTGAAACTGTGATAGGTAAACAATTTCTTAATTAATTCCGAAATATTTTGTTTGTTATTCATTTGGTTGTTCAATATTTAAAGGCTGTCCATTTGTGTGCTCAGTATCTGACACTAGTCGTGTGTCAGTTAATTTATCTCGTTTGGAGTTGATACCCGTTAATCAAGTTGCGAAATTTCATATGATGGTTGATAATTCAGCTTCAGCTGAGTTATCTGTGTCTGTTACTGGTAAATAATTAATATTGTTATTTATCTTGGCAGTCTGTTTTATTATGACTTTTATTAAATTTTAGGCCCCCACACTGAACTTCCAGTTAAAGTCACAGGAAATGTAAATATAGGGTTTACTGCTGAGTTTACACCACTGCAAGTTGGAGCTCACTCAATTTCAGTTGAATATAATGGACATGCTGTTAATGGTACTCCTTATGTAGCTAAAGCTTATGACTCTAGCAAAGTTATAGTTGGACATGTACCTAAAGGTCATGTTGGAAATACATTTCAATTCACTGGTGCGATCAAATATATTAATTTTATACTACTGCATTGTGATTAATACCATATTTATTTATAGTTGATGCCAGTGAAGCAGGTGAAGGTAATTTAGAAATCACTATATCAGCTAGAGGAGCAAATATTCCCACTCAAGTACATCCACAAGGCAACGCTAAATTTGCTGTTAGTTTTTTACCACTTCAGCCTACTGATCATGTTATTACTATACATTTTAATAAGGAACCAGTCCCAGGTTAGTTTTTTTAGCTTTAATAAATATTTAAATAAATTCATCATTATTCAAACTTATTTATTATTATCTTAGGGTCTCCTTTTATTGCTCATGTTGAGGGAGATTTGCCATTAGTCAGTGGCTCTTCACTGACTAGTGCTCCTGTCTCAACAACTTCTCATTTCACTATGAGCAATGTATCTGGATCGCTGGACGACATTGAAGTTAATGTTGAGGGTAAGTTTATTAAATATTAATGAATGGTATTAATTTTGGAATGTTTTCATTCTATTATATTTGCCTCAGCACGACTGTTTGGAATTTCAATTAAAGCTTGTCTACAAGTATGTGTGTCTATATTTTTACAGGTGGGCGATATCACAAATCTCGATTATACTGATTCTTCTTTCTTTTTAATAACAACTTTTTTAAGTTTTTTTTTTTTATTAGCTATTAACGCTATATAATTTGGTGATAGACCTTGTATGGTATAAGATAAAACTAATTTTTATATATTTTGAAGAAGATATTAACTTAAATAAATCATTTATTTATTATTAAATTTAAATTAATAATATTAAAAAAGAAATAATAAAAAAATTATAATTCATGGAAATTATGACTACTCTAGAAAATATTTACTAAGTGTGAAAACATCTCAAGCATAAAGTTTTACAATTTGTTAATTTTGTATGTTGATAAATAGTTTTATAATATTTTATACAGTTTTATTTATGTAATTTAAATAATGTTTTTTTTCATTGATTTTTTTTTTTTTTTAATGGTTTTGTATTCTTAAATGCACTTGGATTTAATAATAATCAATGAAGGTGTTTACACATTCAAAATAATATAAACCTTTCTTTAATAAGTTGATGTTATTTTAATATTCTATTATATTTTAACACTTATTCTTAAAATAAAAAATTTATTTGATAATAATTTGAAAAATAATAAAACTTTTTTATAATTAAAAGTCCAGTAAATAATAAAATATTTTTAATTGTAGATTTCAAAGGGCTTAGAAGCTATATATGAAAATTGTATGTTTTTAGAATTTTTTTTTCCTTATCAAGCGTGTTTACTTGAGAGAAAATCATTATAACCCATTATTGAAACATAATTATGATTATCATATAATGAATATATAGTAAATACTAATAAACATACTAAGTTAAAATGCACGGCTTTTGTTCCCTGCATGATTAAAATGCATAAACAGTAAAAATATAATTATTTTCCTTTCAAATATTTATTGATCTAATAATAAAACAAGTAACTTCAATTAAACTTAAAATAATCATACCATACTTTTTAAATTTTAACGTTATTACTAGGTTGATTAATATATTTGAAAGAATTTATTATTGTTATTAAAAATTAACAATACTTTAAATTTCTTTAAAATAATAAATTCTAGTTATATATACTAGCTAAAAATAATTATATTAGAGTATAAATTCAATAATTATATTCATTAAAATTTATATAATTAATATGATTTTATAGTTTATCAAATAAAATTAAATGGCATCACTTTAAGCCTTAAAATTATAGTAACTAATATAATTTAATATTTTATTTTAAATATTCTTCATAGTAATTGTAATACATTTTTAAAACATTTTATTTTAATACTACATTAATTTATTTCTAATTTTATAGTTGATCACATTTTCAAATAAATGAGTATTATTTAATTTTTATTCAAATAAATTAGACTGTTAGTCATAAATATTTTTATGGAATTCATTTTAGAATTTAAAATGTATTTAATTGATACACAATGCATGTACAAATTAAGAATTCTTTTTTCTTGCATATTTTTATTTTATTTTAATTTGAAGCATTTTATGTATTTTGAACATTAAAAAATGTTTATTTAATGCTTTTGCGCTTTTCTTATAAAATAATTATACTAACACTAATGAAGGATTATATAGGTCCTAACGGGTCGGCTGTTCCCGCCCAAGTAAAAGAATCTGGTTCACAGTCATATAAAATTGAATTTTGTCCGAAAATTGTTGGTGAACATAAAATTGCTGTTAGTTATCTTCGTACTCCAGTAGCAGGATCTCCATTTAGTTGTAAAGTGTATGATATCAAAGCCATTAAAGTAAAATCGGTGCCCAAAGGCACTGTTGGACAACAAGTCACTTTTGTTGGTAAATATTCTTTAAAATTATATAGTTTTAAATAATTAATTAATTTACTTGGAAAATTTTAGTTGAAACAAGTCAAGCTGGTCCAGGAAATTTAGAAGTTACAGTTAATGGTGGCCGAGTACCAACTTCTGCCCAAGCCCAAGGCCCACACACTTATGCGATATCATTTACACCTCGTCAACCAACTTTACATACAGTACACTTACGTTTTAACAATCATGATGTACCAGGTAAAAATTGTATTAAAAAGTATATATAAAGACATAAATGAATAAAATATATTGAAAAATATTGGATAAAGAAAAATGAATCATATGACCTAATAGTTGCAGTATGGTACCTCAGTGGACAGTCAGATTAACAATTTGTTGATGATTAAATAGTGAAATAGTGTTAGGTATATTTAAAATAAAATATAATATTTTAAGAATAAATATTAAATTTAAGTAAAAAAATATTTTACAAAATGTAGTACATTAATGAATTTTTTTTAGGCTCACCATTCACATGTTCTGTTTCTGAAGCTGCTAGAGTTGTTGTTTGGTCAGCTACTGAAGATAAAGTTGCTGTCGGTAAAATAGCATCATTTGCTGTTCAGTGTGAAAGTAGTCCTGAAGTGCAAGTTCTTGCACCTCTTAGACATTCTTTACCAGTAACTGTTATTCCAGCTACTCAATCATCAACTCATAATGTTCAATTCACTCCTATCGATGTTGGTAAGTAATTTTTTATTATTGAGTACCATTAATTTTTTATTAATAATATTTTTATGAATTAATGTATTTTTAATTTTTATAGGTGATCATAGTGTTGAAGTTAAAGTAGATGGCATACATGTTGAAGGCAGTCCATTTTTAGTTAAAGCATATGATGCTTCTAAAGTTCGTGTCACAGACATCAACACTGGTTTTGTAGGAAAACCGGTCAATTTCAATAGTGAGAATATATTTTTATTTATTAATATTTTTATATAAAAAAAAAAATTAAAAAATTTAAATTTGTATTATTTCAGTTAATGCAAGTGAAGCTGGTGCTGGTAATTTAGAAATTATTGTATCAGTGAATGGAGTCAATGTTCCAAACTATGTTCAATCTGAAGGAAATGCTAAGTTTCGAGTTAATTTTAAACCTCGTGATGCTGCTCCCCATAGTCTTAGCGTACGTTTCAATGGTGAACCTATTCCTGGTAATATATGTATTTGTAAATAGTCAATATATAAATTATTAATAAATATAATTTTTTAATTAATTGTTTTTTTAATTGTCTTCTATATAGGATCTCCATTGACGTGCAGAGTATTGGATATTGATCAAGTTGCTGTAAACGGTACTGGTGTTCGATATTGTGCCATAAAAAAAACTGCAGACATAAAAATTGAAAGCCCAGATATATCAAATGATACAAATTTTAAAGTTAATGTTTTTTCACCATCTGGAAAATCTGTTGATGTTAAGACAAGTATCATGGCCAATGTCATTGGAGCTTACTATACACCAAATGAAATTGGTATACTATATTTTTAAATATTATTTATGTAAACCTTTATTTTAGTAGTAATAAATACATTATATAAATAATTGTTAGGAAGACATATGGTAGAAGTTTTCATAGAAGAACAACCAGTGGATGGTAGCCCATTTGCATGTAATGTGTATAATATAAATAACATTAAAGTTACAGGTCTTGATAATGCTAAAGTAAGTTACCTATAGTATAACAGTATATTTTTTTACTTAAATATATAATTATTTTTTATTAAGGCTGGTAAACCAGTTACCTTCAGCGTAGATGCTACAGAAGCAGGAGAAGGCACATTAGAATTGGTCGTTAGTAGTCAAAGAGGTACAGTCAAAGCAGAGGTAGTTGCTTGTTCTAGAGGATTATATGATGTTACATTTGTTCCACATAATCCAATACCGCATTTTGTTAATATAACATTTAATGACGAAATAGTACCAGGTAAATGACAAATTGGATGCAATAATGTGTTGATATTGAGGTTTAGTAAACATTTTTACTTTATTTTTATAAAAGGAAGCCCATACAGTTGTAACGTCGTGGATTTAAATGGAGTTAAAAAAGGAGTATCCAGTTCATTAATCACGGCATATGGTGAAGGATTACAACGAGTGAAACTTGGTTACCCAGCACGTTTTGACATCAATCCACACATTGCTGATCATGGATCAATAAGTGTTTTAATAAAAGGTTTGTTTTCAAAAACAAAGTAAAATTAATTTTAATAAATATGTTTTAAGTCATTATAAATTATTTAAACTAGATCCTGATAATAAGACCATACCTGTTAATTTACACAAACATGAAAGTGGACTGTATCGAGTAATTTACCGTCCATCAATAGTTGGTGTTTATATGGTTACAATAATGCATCGAAATCAACCAATTACCAAACATCCTTGGAAAGTTCAAGTTATAGATTCTGAGTTAGTAATTGTTAGTGGTCTCAATGAAGCAATCTGCAATAAACCTACATCATTTAAAGGTTGAAAATAAAATAAAAATACTTTATTGTACAGTTAATGGATAATTTTTTTCTTATTTTGTAGTTGATACAAGGAATGCTGGTAAAGGAGAGTTATCTATAGTAATTAAAGCAGCTGGCCGTGATGTAAAACTTAAATCTTCAGATGTAGAGTCCAATGGTATCTACCAAGTAGCATATCAGCCTATTATACCTGTACCTCATTACGTTCATGTGAAATATAACAATTTTAATGTAAATGGGTCGCCATTTGTGGTTAACGTGCGAGAACAAAATCCATCCACATCAGCTGAACTTCGAGCTGTTGGTTTAGGACTTTACCAAGGTATTTCTAACAAAATGTCTACATTTATAATTGACAGTGCTGGTAAATCCAGCCATGAATTTGATGTTGTTATTACTGGAATGCAACATACTGCTGTACCCGCACAATGTTATCAACATAAAAATGGTATGAATTTAATTGTTGAATTCACACCTCCTAAAGTTGGTAAGTTTTTATTTCTTATCAAATAGTCAATCAAGATGTCAATATATTTCATTTTAATTTAGGACAATATAATATTGATGTCACACATTTTGGTAAACATTTGAAAGGATCACCGTTTACAAGTTATGTGTATGATGCCAGTAATGTAAAAATTGACAACCTTCCTGAAAAGTATAGTGCTGTTGTTCATAAGCCAGTATCATTTAAATGTAAGCATATGAATTTTACCATACATTTGCAGTAGAGTTTTAATTATGGTTGTTGCAATTTATAGTATCAAGAAAAAATGCTGGATTGGCTGATTTTACTGTTACTTGTCTTGGACCCGAAAATGAAGATGTTCCAGTTGATTTAAAATTTTTCAGTGAAAATGTTGATGTTGTTCAAATTTATCCTACAATACCAGGAGATTTTATTTTTAACATTCTTTATGGAAAAGATCATATTAAAGAATCTCCATTAAAAGTACATGTATCAGACCCGGGAATTCCTCGAGCATGGGGTTCTGGTCTAGTTAAAGCTCTTAAAGATGTTCCAACAAAATTCTATGTCTCTGCACTGGGAACATCTTACCATACTGTCCCTGTTGTTACTGTCCGCAATGGAGCTGAAATGGTGCCAGTTACAATTAATCAATCTTCTAATGGCCATGAAGGAGATTATGAAGTTTCATTTACGCCAAATCATATTGGCTTTTGTGATATAAATATTATTTGGAATGGAAAGCATGTCAGTGAATCTCCTTACAGCTGTACCGTAGTTGATTTGACTAAGGTATTGACAATTGGTGAATCAAATTTAAATAGCCGTCTTGTACTTGGTGTAAATGCTCCTACAACTTTAGCATTTGATACTTCAATCGCCGGACCTGGTAAATAATTTATTTACAAACATATTCAATAATTTTAAATAATTTTTCATTATTTATTATAGGTGAATTAGAAGGCCATTTAGAAAGTCAAGGAGGTACAATTGTTCCAATAATAATAGATCATTCTGGCGACAATGTTAAATGTGTATTAACACCCCATGTATCTGGTCCCCATGCTCTCTATTTGAATTTTGCTGGAATGCCATTGCCTGGTTCACCATATCCTGCTTTAGTTGAGAGTGGTGCTGCTGGCGTAAGAGTAATCTTAGCTGGAAGTGGCTTAACAACTGCTACTTGTGGTCAGCGTGCAGAATTTACAATTGATGGAACTCAAGCCGGACCAGGTTTATTAGATTTTTGTATAATTTATTTTTATTACTATGACTAATTTATTTTATTTTAGGAAATCCTGTAGTTACCTTAGCTGGTTCTAGACATGAAATACCAGTTAATGTTGAAAAGACTGGTGATAATTTGTACAGTGCAAATTATACTCCTGTAAGTCCTGGAGCTTATTTATTAAATGTGCTTTGGGGTCACAGGTATGTAAAATAGTTTATTTAAATTGTTTGTGATCTTTAAACATTTTTTTTGTTGTCTTAGGCAAGTAAAAGGCTGTCCTTTAAAGATTAATGTTACCGGTGTTTGTGATGCTAGCAAAGTTTTATGTACTGGTGATGGTCTAGGTATTGGGACTGTTGGAAAAGATATTAGAAGTTTTATTGATACAAGAAGAGCCGGTCCTGGTATACATATGAGATTTATGATCAAATATTAAAATATAATGTAAATATTTCTATGTATTATAATATACCTAAATGTGAATTTCAGGGGAATTAAGTGCACACTGTATAGGACCTCATAAAGTAGCTTATTGTGAACTTTACGACCATGGAGATGGCACTTTCACATTAAATGTAAAACCTCAAGAATCAGGCCGACATACATTGACTGTTAAATATGCTGGTAATTTTTTTTATCTTTGGATGTTTTTAGAGTTATTTTCATAAATATAGAAATTCAATATGTTTACTATTTATGTTTGCTGTTTATGTTTAATATTATTTTAGTGCTATTAAAATAATAAAACTGAAAATATATACTAAAATTAAAAGTATTAAAATGCACAGATTTTTTAACAATTTTATGAATGATCAATATTTTTATAGTAAAATATTTAATAAATTATGTAACGCATATATTGAAATTAAGATAATAATATAACTTTAAGTTCATAACATTTTAAACAAAAATATCCAAATGTTGTACTTTCTCATGGAATGTATAAACCACTTAAAAATAATAAATTGATTTATGAAGTTACGATTTTAAATTTGTATTCCTATAAAATAAATCTTCCCTCAAATAGGATTAAGTAATATTTAAAATTTTTATTTTTAAAAATGTTATTTTACTTTTTTGTTGGCACAGTGTTTTATTATGTGGTAATAGTATATTTTGATTTAAATACATATTCATTTTTGATATTTGAAGGTGAAGATGTACCTGGAAGTCCCTTTACAGTCCGTGTTAGTGGTGCACCAGATGCTAGTAAAGTACGTGTGTATGGACCTGGAATTGAACACGGTGTATTAGCAATTTTTCAAAGTAGATTTATCTGCGATACTCGTGGAGCTGGTGCTGGGCAGTTAACTGTCAGGGTTAGAGGACCAAAAGGTAGAGTATATAATAAGAAATTAAAAGCTAGTAAATGGTTAATACTCATAAATTAATGTATAAATAAATAAGTAAATAAATAAATGCTTAGGCTTGAGTATATTTGTGTATACAATCGATTTTGAAGTTCATCATCAGGTCTAAAATATATAGTACATAGTTGTAATTATTGAATAAAGTAATTTATTATTTAATTCTTAAATATTTATTGTTCATTGTTAATATGTGTATTTTAGGTGCATTTCGTGTTGAAATGCAACGTGAAAACCAAAAAGATCGAACTATATTATGTAAATTTGATCCGACTGAGCCGGGGGATTACAGAGTTGAAGTAAAATGGGCTGGAGAACATGTTCCCGGTTCACCATTCATGGTTATGATATTTGATACTCAAGAAGAACTTAACAGATTCTTACAGGTAAATATTGCCATGTGAATTTTTTTTCATATAACCATTATTAATTGTTATCATTTTATTAACAATTTTAGGGCAACCATTCACCGGCAAATTCTGATCTGTATAGTAGTGTTAATTACTCATCAAGTTATGCTCATATTACACCTTAAACATTGTTACTAGGTGAATAATATATATTTTTGTTAAACAGTTTTATAACATTCAAACATTGTTTGTAACTAGGGTTATTTGTAAACAATCCGTCCAACTGACTATTAAATTTATATATATATAAATTTATACACATTTATATATATATATATATATATATATATATTTATTATTTATTTAATATTTAATTCATTTTTTATTATTATTTACAAATTAACTTATTTGATCAATCAAAATTGACTACCATGTTCTTGTTATGTCTCACATGTATTATTTAACAAAATTATTAAATCATTATATATTAATATACATGTTTTATTGATTTTTTTTAAAAATTCTTTGCTATTGAAGATTTGAAGTGATGTTCTACCGGTCTTTTTTTTATGAAGCAATGGTAAAGAAGAATTTGTATTAATTAAATACAATTAATTTATGCAATTAAACACTTGATCTAACCTTTTAAAATGTAAATCAGTTATATACTTACTTATTATTATATTGTCACTGTACTGATATGCTATGAGAAAAAAGTATTGTATAGTGTTTTAATTATTCATTTAGTCTAGCTTGGAGACTAGAGTAGCAGTTCCCAAAATGTTTTGAGTCACACATCCTCAAAACAAAGAAAAATTAATTGCACCTCCCAAGAGTTAGACTAAAGAATAAAAAAAAAAAACCGAGTTATATATTTTTAATAATCAAACGAACAAAACTAGAGTTCATGTTTATTAACTTTTATTTATCAAATGCAATTTCTTGTCAGCCATTATTTTTTCAGAAACACATGAAGTGTATTATACAGTAAAACGAGGGTAATGATTTCGGTTTTAAGAAAGAAATATTGAAAATCACTTACGATTTGATCATGTGTAAATAGTTTGATGTAATTTTGTAAGCCCATAAAATATATTGCCTTGAAATGTACGGTATTACTAGATCATGCTTTAGGTATTTCCTTGCATTAGATCTGTAGTGTTGAGCATAGGTTTCGGTTTTTATTTAACGTTTTTGAAAGTTAATTAATTGATAGACGAGATCATGAAAAACATTTATTTGTCAATTTGTTATGTCAAATTCAATACGCATTGAACAATTCTAGATAAACTCACCTAATCCCATCATACTCAACTAATGTATAATGTAATAATTTAAATGAGTTTCTGTTCTTTTTAATCCAACTAAATGTTACACTATTGTTGTGTACACGTTATTAGCCACAAGTTAGGTGTAAGACCGTAGCATTATATATTAATTTGTGAATAATATTCGATAAAAGTATGTTTATATATATTTATGTACATAAGCGTGCGCAGACATTACATAATACGTTAAACATTTAATATTAATAACGAATTTGGATGGGGTGACTTCATTAAACGTAATAATTATATTTTTCCAATACATGTATTTACTGATTAGGTACTATAGACGTTTCGAAGTGGTTGAACATAATATTGTAATTAATTATAGTAATAATATTGAATATTTTGGTGTGGGAGGGAAGGTTCACAGAGTAGTCAAGTGTCTACCCTAGGCTGAGTATGCCACGCTTATGTATATGTACAACGATTACAATAGTCGTCATGTCGTGTATTAGGTACCCTACGATTTGAACAGTTTGGAAAACTGAATTTGTCGTTTAATGTTATAACGAGCATACAATAATGATCTACGAAATAAATAAAATCCATTAAATAATTTCTTCGAATTTATTTTTTATTCATTTAAATAATACTTAATTCTAATATAAATTACTATATTTACAAATATAATTATCATTAATTAAGAATCTACAAATATAACTTTTTTTAGAATACAATAATTTTTTTTCATATAGGATTATAATTTTCTGCAATCAAGTAGTTTAAAGTTTCAATTTTCCCAAAAGGGCGAAAAAATCAAAATATTTATTAATAACAAATGGCTTCAACATAAAATGAGATCGTCGATCTTATGAACTAAACATAATCGTTTTTATGGCAGAGTAAAAACCGTATTGTCATGGAATAATAAAAGCACAATACAACAAAAAAAAAAAATAAAATAAAATAAATAAATAAATAAAAAAATAATAATAATTAAAGAAAAGAAAAATAGGAAATAATAATTAAGGTCGTTAATTTTATCATAGTTAATTATTATAGGAAGTGTATCTAGTCCTATAATAGCGATAACAATAAGATTATTTATATATAAATATATTTTTATATATTTAAATAAAAATAAAAACCTACGATGCCTAAAAACTGGCGCGAAAAAACTTTAAAAAAAATCTAACATTTGATCATTTACTTTTCTCGTAATAATAATAATAATAATAATAATAATAATAATAATAATAATAATAATTTTATACCGAACAACAGAATTTTTCAAAACGAGTTGTACAAGAATTTAGTAATATTATAAAAATTGTACACGGTGTGTTTTCAAACAAACAGCCTATAACAACGAATAAATAATACGTTAACGTATTTTTTTTATAATCATTATTTTTATTTTTTCTTTAATTTTAACTCAACTTCGTTAACACTACAGTATCGGTAAGAAACAACACAATATACAATTTCCTTTATTCGAGGAGTGAGAGAGAGAGAGAGAGAGAGAGAGAGAGAGAGAGAGAGAGAGAGAGAAAGAGATGAACGGAGGGGTGGATTGGTGGTGATAACAACATTTTATACACGCTAACTAAACAGTATAAAGCGTTCGTTTTCACAAGTAATGTTCAAGTAACAACACGTTCAACATGTCCGACCGACGACGGGTCAGAACCGATAAATCCAATTTTTCGCGCGCGCTCTCCCGGATGAAAGCGGTCCGAACGATGACGACGACGTGACGATCTCTTGGGCCCGTTCCGATGCGGCCCACCCGGTTTCCGGCCTAGATCGCGGGCACGGGTGACGACGTCCTGAGCGCGGTGAGAAACGGTTACAACGAGACTCGGAAACGGATCGTTCGGACCGACAGCGCAACCGGTCGAATCACACTTGACGTGCATACATAATATATATATATATATATATATATATATATGTGTAAATTATAACATTAAAAAAAAAAAAAAAACGATAATATTGAAACAGCTTCGTTTCATAATACAATATGTTTAAACGGGGTAATTGACACTGTTCGTTTTTAGTAACAAAACAATAAATTGTCTTAACTACCTAAAATAATTATTTCTCAGACTAGATAATATCCATAAAACACCTAATTATTATTTATTGCTGAGACATATCATCATCGCAGTTGTACGCATGTCTAAAATAAAACATTTCGTTTCAATATACATAAATACGTTTTTGATTGTTAAAAAGAAAATGTAATATAAGGAACCCGTGTTTGGTAGGCCCCAGGACGTTATTTTTAATTTAATAGGAACTTAGGGATGCAATACAATTAAAAACACAATGCGGAGAACAACTGGTGGAGATGCCCGAAACTAAATTTACGAACACAATACTAAATTAATTAATCATTATTATATGTTGAAGGAATCGTTAAAATACATCGAACAGATCTAATTGAGTTTATAATGACGTAATATTATCACAAGGTTTAGTTTTAAATGTTTTCTTTTTTAATCTTAACAGTTTTTAAGGGAGGCATAAATTTCAAACGAAAACGAAAACAATAATAATGTAAATATCCTCAGACTGGACAGTCTCGTACAATTTGAGCAAGTGGATTTTATATGACAAACCGAAAATGTTGAGAATGTATTAATAATTATCCTCAGTTCTGGATATTATAAATAAAAAAAATAAATCAATATGAGAATTCAATTACAACTTATGCCTCTCCGAACACTACTATCATGCAATTACTTTTTTTTTTTCTTTTTATCTTTTTAACTTTTTTTTTTTTTTTTTTTTTAGAAATACTGTATGAAACGTACGTATTTACATGAAACCGTAACGCATTCGGTCAGCCTATCATTTCGACTTGAACGCGTTATCATATATCTGTTTAAAATTTATTAATTACGGTAACGTTATCTCGAGTATTGAACTTTGCGGAATAAATAGTACGAGTGGGGGGCGGGGGTGGGGGGAGAAAAAAATCGTTGTCCTTGAGCTTTTACGAAACGTCGTTCTGTACACGCGCGCGCAAATCATATTCCTAGCGTCACACGTTCGATCAACACGCGCTCTCGACGTACCCCATGCGAGCCATCTCCGCCTGGCGCCTCTTGTACGCGTAGAACTCCTCCTTCATCGCTTGCAGCCTGGCCTCGACGTTCTCGTACTTGGCCTTCTTGAGCTGCGTGGGCGTCCGGGACCTGGACGGCGACGGCGTGGTGGGCGTGCGGGTGGCCATCATCATCATGTCGGTGGGCGTGGGCGACACCGGGAACACGGGGTCGAACTCGTACTGGTCGTCGACGCTCAGCGGCTTGCTGGCGCTGCTGTGCGACGACGGGGACGGCAGTACCGGCGACGTCAGGTCCAGCCAGTGCTCGTTGGCGTAGAACAGCGACGACGACGACGGCGGCGGCATCGGCATCGACGGCATCGACGGCAGCAGCGGCGGCGGCGGCGGCGGCGGCGGCGGCGGCGGCTTGTACGGCGGCAGCACGCGGGCGATCGTCGCGGAGGCAGCGGCCGGCGGCCAGCAGTCGTCCGCGGGGCCGCCCGTGTGCTGGTGCAGGCTGGACGTGGTGTTCTTCGAACCGAAACCGCTGGAGCTGGACCGGCTCTCGGGCGACCGTTCGCTGTGGGCCGGCGCGTCCGACGTGAGTTCCGGCGCGCTCCGGGCGTACCGCATGTGCCGCGACCGAAACCTGGGGTTCGGGTGGTACCGGGGGCTGGGCTGCTGCTGCTGCTGCTGCTGGTGGTGGTAGTGATGCTTCATCATCAGCGTCCGGTGGTTCTCCTCGTGTATCACCCGCAGCGACGGCAGCTGCTGGCTGTACTGTTCGTGCACGCTGCGCAGCGTACTGCTCCTGTTGGCCGCCACAGCCGCGGACGACGACGTTACCACTACCGAGCTGACGTCCGGGCCGGACCACTCGGCCGGCTTGGTGCCGCCGGGCGAGCTGGCCCGGTACGGCGTGGTCCGCGGCCCGCACACCGTGGCCACGGTCGGCCGCCGGCGCCGTTGACGCTGCGGGCCGCCGCTGTCCAACGAGTCGTCGTCGGCGGTGCGCACGCTGCTACCGCCGCCGCCGCCGCCGCCGCCGGCCATCATCAGCGGCCGTTGTTGCGGGCTCCGCGTCCGGTCGGCGAAACTCGGGTGCGACAGGAAGCCGCCGTCGTCGCTGGAACTGCTCAAACTCGACGATCTCGAGTCGCCCCGGGTCAACACGAACCTGCCGTCCGCGGAGCGCGAGATCCTGCCCAGCCGGCGTTGCTCGTGTTGCGCGCCGTCCACGCAGTCGTGGTCCTGGTCGAGGAACGAGCTGGACCGGGACCGCGTGACCATGTTGAGAACGACGTTGCACCCGCTGCTCAGACTTGATATTCGGGTTGATCTAGATCTAGAAAAAACACACACGTCCGGGGGTCAGTACCGTCGTAATACCGGTCGGGGCGGTGTGCGATCGCTGCTACACGGTGTTCGTACGCACTAAAATGCATTAACTACGTTACGATTGTTGTTCGCGGAACACGAAGCCGATACGTACACACACGCACCGCGATGCGTTGTTAGAGTGGAAAACAATCAAAACGCTAAAGTTGCGAACGGACGAAAGCGAGATGAAAGCATGCGCGTACTTTAGTGACAACAATCCAAATCATTTCGGTGCCACACCAGACGTGTTCAAAAGTGACTCCGTTCGACATCAATGCAAAATAATAATCGTACACCGATGGTAATACTAACGTGCGAGCGTGCGTTTTTACGGTCGTCATTATTGTTGTTCCGTTCGAAAATAAAATCGAACAAGAGCTATTGCATTACAACAGCAACTAATTCCCCGAAATGAAACGAAAATTCAAAGGCAACCGTTCTTTACGCACCGCCATTAAATGTACACGCGACGATTAATGTGACGTTAAATAACGCGTAGCTGAACGAAATTCGATATGTGCACATTCGAACGTGTTTGATTACGCGTAGGTACCTTATGTGTACCGAACGTATACGTAGTACGCTACAGTATCGGAAGTGGTGGTTGATTTTTATTTGAGAAAAAATAACACCATACCGGAACGTACCGGTAACAAACGTCCATAGGCGTGCGCAGACATCTATTTCAGGGTACGCAAAAGGCTGCCGCTGCCTACCTCCACCTCCCATCTAAAACTGAAAGTTAATATAAGCGTTCAAAATTCTGATCTTAATAACTATTCAATTTAAAATTTTAATTTTTTTTCCCGAAAAAAGTGACTGAATAGCTGATTTCTTAAACGTTATAACTGTCTTCATAATTAAAATTTAAAATAAATTAAGAAAAAAAAAATTTAATACACAACCCTTGAAATGGTATGAGTAATACGTTTAAATAGGGTAAATAAATAAAAAACGTAATTATATAATTAAATAAAAAACAAAATAAATTTAATAAATAATTAAAATTAATCATAAAACGATTCTGCGAACAGTTGAGTTTTTAATATCGTCAATAATGTTTTCGGGATTTTAATTTATAGCCATTTTTTGTTCTGTAGTTGATAGTTATTTAATCTCGTTTGAATTATTGTACTTCTTAATTTCACAAGCACATTAAATCGTTATTATAGCATATGATTTGTGTTTCAAAAATAAAATAAACTGTCTGGAACTGAATATAAAAATATAATAAAAATCATAATGTAATACGAAATCACATAATGTACGTAATTTTTATTTATCTTATGTAATTTTGGAAAGAAGGTTCTATGTTTAGGATATGCAGTTGCATACATCTTGCATATCCCTGCGCACGCCTATGCAAACATCGTAACTAGACAGATTTCACTAGGTACATCGAAGATACCAATATTGAAAGGGACATAAGTATAAGTATCTTTCCAAATTTTAAGAACAGTTATAAAACAGAAATCATGATTAAAAATGTCGATAACTTATTTCGAACGAATTACAAGGGTACACATATTCACGTTTAGCATCTCTGTTTCACAATCTATTGTTTTCAATGGACTAAAAATGTACGACTAGCTAATGACTACGTAACTACTATAAACACTGTCGACCGATAAAACTATTCTAGAACTTATAATTAAATATATATATATATATATACATATAAAACAAATTATATCGATTAATTAAGTGCAAGCAAACAAACACACGCATACTGTGATGTACCAATATTATTTTGAATTTGTGCGGCTCAACAGCTTGCTAGCTCTTCACCTGTTATCCTGAACGAAAGCACATATAAACAAATAAATAAATAGTATATCAGTGATTATTAATCAAACAAGATCCCAGAAAACCATTCATGTTGTACCGTTTATGTGTTATGTAATACACGTAAAGCGTTTCCCCATTAGTATTATTTTTACTATGAATTATATTAATGTTTTTTTTTTTTTTTTTTCATACATATATGTATATAACACGTTATGGTATTCTGTAGTTTGTGATGAGATGCATGCAAACTTTTCGTTTCGCCGTGGGAATCGGTTGTTTCGAGACGACGTATTTACAGTTCAAAATACTTTGTAATATTTATGTTTTATGAATTATAACACTGAACGTCCGTGATTCGAAAACGTAACGAAACCAAGAATCCCAAAATCATGTGTATGCCATATTGTAACGCGCCGACGACTGAGTTACTGTCGAGTGCGGCGCGTATGAAAAACGGTTTGTAAAAAAAAAAAAAAAAAAAAAGAAAAAAGTTGTAAATAAAGCGGTTGCGAGTGAAGCATTGTTTTTATTTTTGTTTTTTTTTTTTTTAATCGATATAAATAACGCTTCGCTTACGGATTATCCGGCTAGGACAATTCGAGTCTATAATCTCGGTAAGTACGAGAATCCGCGAGCCTAGACACAAAAAACAGTATCCATGTACAAAAATTCAATACATAATTCCCTACGATTCCCTACGTTTATCACCCGCGTGAATGTCTTAATGTTTTTTTTTTCTTCTTCTCACGGAACACACGGACAACACTTACTTTTTTAAAGGCACTTGACTAGTTCCTGGTATCTGACCGCCGTTTCTGGCGTCCGTGATTCTGCACGCGACCATGTTGTAAGCTGAAATCACGAAACACGCCGTCATCGTAACAACACCGGTGCCGCAATAACAACCGCTGTCATCGCCCCGTCCGGAGCGGTGCTACACTCACCTTTTTCGTGTTTTCTCCGTTTTCTCTTGTTGCAGATCTTCACCGCGCACACCGACAGTATTATGGCGACGATGAAGAACAACAGTCCGCCGACCACACCCGCCGTGATCGCCTTGTGCTTGACCCGAGCCGGCACCGGGAACTTTATCTCTTCGCTGTTCTCGAAGCTTTTCAAAGAGTAGGCGACCACTCGGAAATAGTACGTACGACCGCCGACCAAACTTTTCACTGCAAGCACACACAAGAACCGAACGTTTTAGTGTTTCGGATATCGAATTTTCACTCGTGCACACGCAGCGGTGTGCTCGTTTTCGCGACAATATTCGAAAGCGGATCTAACGTAACACACACACGGAAACACCGCTGCAGCGCGCGCTACATTCCGTAACGCGTACAACAAAAGCGACGCGTCTGGTCCTTTTTGTGTACGGCATAATATAATACGTTCGGTGGCCGGTCATTTTTTTCACCGATAAATGAAATCACGCGCTCCGGTTATTCGGCCAGGTCCATAGTTTTTTTTTTTTTTTTAAACACCTATTGATTAGTGTATAAACAAACGATTTTCGTCCGTACCGAGATAAGACGTATCCTCTGCTCTGATCTGTGCCTTGTTTAACGTTCTCCAGATCCCGTCGGTCTTATAGTGAATGACGTAATAACGGACTAAATGCGCTCTTTCCAAAGGCGCTTGCCAAGAGATGACAAAGCCATTTCTGACCTCGGTGATGGATAAATTTCTTGGCGGTCCGGGTTTAGGTCCTGTTACAGGTACAGAACAATCGTACGGTTAGATGTATATATATATATATATAATTACAATTGCAGATATAACATTAAGCATTCGAACACTAAAGCATTCATAGTACTTTTTTCGATCCAATTATCTTTATCGATAACAGTCTACTACGTTGATGTGAACGAGCGAGGTGAAAAATAATAATCAAGCAATTTTTTTTTTTTTTGTATACCTTTTGGTCTAAACACTGGTGGATACAATGTAGCACCAGATGATTCGGTGGGTAAAATGAGGTCACTATAGTCGACAACGTCTGCAAAATGTGTAATAAAATAAAAATAATAAACACATGCAAAACCAAACAAAGTTGATGTTTATAAAAATAAAATGATAAAATAAATAAAATGATAATCCTGAAAAATGTCGAAAAGAACTTAGCAAATAATCTATTGTGTTCAACAAAAAATAGTTGGGACACTTACGCAATCATGCGGTGAATAAAGTGCTATGTACAGTGTATGAAAAATAATAGTAGTTATCATGCATTATTTAGATAAATATTATAACACATTATTATACTATATATTATATAAATGAGAAATATATACATTATATTATTTGTGCTTACCGTCGCTCGGGGGAGGAGGTAACTCGGTGACCGGTGGCGCGGGACTTGTTTTTTTGGCCACGGTTAATGGTACGGCTGCTGCCACCCAACAGAGAATAGAATAAGCACAACAAACCAAACTTGTGGTATACAACAAGGGCATTATAAGAACAAAATATGGCGGACGCTTACAACGAAAAAAAGGTTTTTTCACACAGCGACCGATTAAAAACAAGGTACAGATATATTATGCTGCGGTTAAAATATTATATAATACACAGTTACTCGATTCGTCCTTGGAAACTTTACAGGCATTATTTAATTTCAAATTTTAATTTGTAAGCATCCGATATCATTATTATATACAAAACAAGTTATCTACAATCAACTTAAAAGTTATTTAAAACTGTGCACGAGTAGTTCAAATTATAAATTCTGCGGAAGTTCAAGGTCACACATTGATCCTCGAAAAGGGGACGAACAATACCTTTAGCAGAAGATATCATCAAAAAAGCTCACCTTGAACCGCCGCAGTATCGTGTTTAATATATTATTATGAAGATACCCGTTTCGTTAGGTATCTTCACCATCACGTGGAAGTTCGACGTGAAATCATATTATTAATATTTATTATAAAATTACATTGATTTTCCATATTCCAAAGCGTCTAAAGCGACTAAATGTACAGTGCGACCCGTTTACACAACTGACACTGTGTTGCCAACCCCCGTCAGTCGTTAAAAAACAAGTACTTTTAAAAATGTAAACAAATTAGACTTTGTCATTAACACTAAGTTCTGGTCAACACTCAATACTTTACTTACCCAATGTCCTAATTGAAATAACTTTACTGAGCATGCCGTCACCCAGTGCGTTTTTCCCTACAACCTGAAACTCGTACGTTGTGTCGGGTGTTAGTCTATTTATGGTAACTTGAGTGCTCCCGGACGGAGTAACAGGTATCCTAGACCATTCTGTCATTCCTGGTTCTTTATACCTGTACAATAATAACAATAATAATAATAATAACTAAAATCGATATTTAAATGGTGATCGGGAACCGTTGCTATTGTCGTTGTCGTCGAAGCTCTTACCAAATCGTATAGTCCTGTTTGTAATCAGGACCGCCGCTGTAACCGGGTAACCACTGTAATGTAACGGCCGTCTCGGAAGCGTTGGCCGTGACGTTATAAGGAGAATGCGGCTGCGTGCCCTCGACGACCAGATGAGTGGTCGTCACTATTGTGGCCACCTCGTTGCTGGCGACACAATGATAGTAACCGAAATCGGTTTTCCTGAGGTTTTCTATTGTAATATTTCCTCCGTGAATGCTGTGACGACCTTTAGGTAACGGTGCTCCGTCTCTCTGCACACACAGCGAAAAAACGCAATCGTTCAGTCCACGGGATCTTACATTACACATGAATTATTATCCGTTGGTGCACTTACTCTCTGCCATTGGATCTTCGGTTTTTGTGTGCCCTCAGCTTCTTGCGCGTCGCAATACATTTCTACCGATTCGCTAATCTTTCTCTGGTACATGTTGTCCGGTTCGACCGTGAACGTTGGCGGTTTCCTAACCAAAACTTCCATTTGACCGGACGAGCCTTGCGTACCCTGTGCGTTGTAGGGCGTACACGTGTATCTTCCCTGGTGGTTTTGATTGACCTGTACAGAGCAAAGAACGAAAAGGAACGACGAAGAAGGAAAAAAAGGAAAAGAAAATCGAAACGATTAGCGTGATTAGTAGTCAAGTCGACCAAAACGGTTAATTTACCCTGGTAAATAACAGTGAACCGTTGTTCATGATAACGATGTCTTTTTGCTGGTAAGGCTCGAGCAAACGTTTGTCCTTGGTCCATGTGACGTATTGTAAAGGAGGATTGGCTTTAATATAACATTGAACAACACCTGCTAATCTAAACGGTAAATACTGAACGGTCGGCGTGAACGTCACTTTTGCCGGATCTATTTATAAACAACAATTACTGTTAGTAACGCCAAGCACACACTACGATAGTTCTGTATGTACACTCACATTCCACATTCAAGTAAGCGGACGCGGACTGCGGGTCGCCTATGCCGTTGCTCACTTCGCACAGATACTGGCCTGAATCGTCAGCGCTGACCGGGTTTATGACCATAGAACCATCTTTTTTTATGGTCACTCTTGTTTCCAATGACGAAATCGACTTGACGAAAGCTCCTTCGCGAGACCACCGGACCGTGACATTGCCTGGCATAGCTTTCGCTCCGCACGTGAACTCCACTTTTTCGCCTTCCAGTTTCGTCTGGTTAGTCGGCGGCGACATGATCACGGCTCCGCCCGCTATCAGGACCCTGGCCGTATGGCTGATCTGTCCTTCGCCATTTCTAGCGATGCACGTGTAATCGCCAATGTCCTCGATCCGGATGTTCGATATCCTCAGTTCGGTGCCGTCATTAAATATTCCTACAGTGGATGTCGGTTGCACGTCCGTGGCATCTTTGAACCATACGATTTCAGGCGTCGGTGTCCCCAACGCTTGGCAGTTTAGAATAATAGAATCTCCGACGTTTATGTACTGCACGTCACCGGGAATGGTGACGAATCTCGGAGGAGCTAGAACGCAAACAACAGTCGGTTGCCGATTAAAACGTTGTTCTGTTAACAGGTGAACTAAGGGTCGACAACACTAACCATGGACGTCCAAGTGAAACCACGTTCCGTTCTTGTTGGTCGGCGACCGGTTGAGGAACACAACCTTGCAGGCGTACCAACCTTGGTCGGACTCCTGTATATTGGTTAAGTTGAGCGAAGCAAGACCATACGGCGAGTCAGGGGAGACTCTAGCTACTCGGCCCTCGTATCCCGAACCGCTGTGAGTGGGATAGTTGTCGTACCAAATAAATATTGGTATTTCGAGACCCTGGAATTACGGAAAATTAATTTTCATCCGTGTCACTGGCAATGGGTATTACGTATGTAATGTTTTTAAAGAAACACGGAAATCGTTCGATACATTATAACGTTGTATGTAGGTATGTATACGCGAGTGAATGCGTTATCGATGCAATATATTTATGTTCGTAAGCACATACAACGGTAGGGATTACATGTGTTCTGTAGTCAACAAATGGTTAATAATGGTTTTATCTTACTTTTTTCTCCCACTGTAGAACATAAGGCACGGGGTGTTCGGCTGGGAATTCCACTTGGCAGTTGAACACAACTGATTCGCCCACGATTGCCGTGATGTGTACAGCATCGTTGAATGTCGACCCGGTAGCTATAAGGAAAAACGGTAATTTTTGATTCGGTCAATATTTTAAACGTTATATTATACTTGTTTTAATAATTTACAATACATTATTTCTTTTGTTCAAATTACTAAAAATATCTATTTTATTTAAACGTAATCTGGAAAATTCTAAATTATTTTGGGAAAAAAATGAATACGTATTTCGGCACAGACAAAAAGATGGAGTAACATTTTAAGATTCAAATATAATTCGAAAAAAAAATTAAAAGAAAAGCTCTTGACAAAAGCTGAAATAAATTATCGGTATTCATCAGAGTAAAAAACCTTTTAAGCTTTTCATGACCCAAAAGATTAAAGATGAGCTTCTTCAAGAAAAAAAAATTGAAATAAAAACTCTAATAGCGCTAAAAACGATACTATATAGCATTGTGATGACTCATCTTTGGCCATTCTTTTAAGATGATTAAGCATATACAATTTTTTCACGAGGTGCTTCGATAATTTTCAGTTATTCATAGTACCGTATTTGTGTCGTCGTTCTCTAAGAAAATTAAAAAGGTTTATGATTTGTAACGTAAAGCCGAAACGAGTAGCGTTTTGATGTATAAACGTCCCTTGAGAAATTAAAAAGTTGTAATAAATGCAACTACGAAAAATTATATTCCATTTAACTCGTCGGAGAGAAAGAAGTAGTCAATAATAGAAATAGAGATTCCGGCTATTTATACGAATAATGAAAAGGTTCAATTTGTTCCGGGAGAATAAACATTAATTGTTGACGTAAAAATTGTATCGGTATAGTCGATGTGTTATTGCCGCAGTTTGTACGTGTAATAGAATTTAGAAATCGCAGTCGTGTACTGCGCCTTATAATATTCACCCGGCCCGCGGGACAGCCAAATGTTGGATCAATACCGACTGAAGAAACTACCGGCGAAAATCAAAGTTTGTGTTTGGACTAAAAAATATGACTGCTATAAAATATAAAATGTTGAAATCAATAAGATACATTGAAAACGTCTGTACATTGTTCACGTTCTTACTATTGCCGACAAGCGGAACAAAAATAATTTATTTGATTTTATTTCGTCGGACTCCGAAAATATAATAACCGGAGCCGATAGTATTTAATTTACAGCGATTAAACGAAATAAAATACAAACAATTAATGCGTCGGGTCGGTATCGTATAATTGGTTCGAAGCTAATGGTTTTCGATACCGCATTATGGACGTCCGTTAAATAGATACTCTAAGAACTGTTGAGTATTTTTTAACTAGATACTAATGAACTCTTAACGGCACGTGGACTAATTTGTAAGCCATGAATTGTTTAATCTTTTTTTATTCCAACATTATGGTTTTTTTGATTTTTTTCTATTGTCAAGGTTGCATTTGAATAGTGTAGAACTTTATACTAACAATTTTTAAATGATCCCTTTGATCGGAAATCGTAAATTAAAATTACTAAAAAGTCTAAGGTAAATAATAATTATCAATATTATTAATAAAATTATATTTTTCATTTTATTTAGGCACTTGAAAGTTAATTATCTGAACTTCAAACATTTTATTTTAATTAATTTAGATTAATTACAATATCTTTCCGTAATTTAATACTTAATGAAGATTTTGTAGTAAATGGAAAAAAATAATTAATTTAATTAAGATAAGATTTTAGATGAGTTTAAAAAAATAAAATATTCTAGAAGGTATTTTAACATATTGTATGATAATACTTTGACCCAGAACAAATTAAAAATAATTAAAACTCTTGTTAACAAATTAAATTGAAAATTCATAGTTAAGAAAATATTTATAAATGATAAATATATGTTCTTGCGTACAAAAATAAATCTTTAGATTGTTTATACTTGTATTTACGTTCAAAAATATAGGATTTGTACCATATACTCACTTATGTAACATACTGAAAAGTTTTTAGAAATTTGATAAGACTTAATGAACGAAAAAGGCGAATGTTTGACCCAGGAAAGGAATACAGATTCGCTAATGGTTTCAGGCGTGAAAAATAAAACGCGTTTATAACAAAACAAAAAAAAAAAAATCTCATGAGAATGATATCATTGACGAGAAACAGCTTTTGTTAAAAGGGGTTTTCATTGTTGGTCGAAAGGTTTTATGAAAAAACTACTAGTCTTCCTCTTGAACCTACAGACGATAAAATAATGGAAAACGAGGATCCTTGAATCCAAAGTATTCAAGCTAGGGCGTAAGATATTGAGCACAGTATTATTAAAACATGTAATTATAATGACTAACATTTCTGTATATAATAATAATAATAATAATAATAATAATAAAAATAATAATAATAACAATAATACTCTTTTGGCTAGAATATAAATTATTGATGAAGCGTTAAGAAGAAGTTCATATATGTTATTGTGGTATTTAACGTTAAATTATATACAGATAAATTGATAAATCGAAACAAAGGAGTTAGCAAAGTTTGATAGATTTTTATACTTTGTAAAAATGATATTTAATAAACATTAATTTTCATATTGCTATGGTACATAATGTGCGTACAGCAACTTTTTTATCATTTTTATTTGAATTTCTAAAAAAACTTAAACAAGTTATTATTTAAATTAAATGGTAAATAATTTTTTTTATTTTTTTTTAAAAATTATTATAAATAGATATTTTAAAACTATACTTTCAAGAAATTAATTTATATGAGTTAAACATTTTTGAGATTTTCAGAATATTTTGAAAAAAATGTTCATATTAAATAGAACTATGATAACACTATGTTCAGTTTTTTATTTTTAAATAGGAAACTACACATTTATCTTAGATTTATTTTTAAATCTTAAAATTTACAAAGACATTTTATTATTTACTTGTTATAAGTAATATCTGTCAGCAGTAGTTAATATGTTAATCCATTATTGCCATTAAGACATATTTTGAAAATTTTGAACACTTTTTCTACCCAAAATAGTGATTGAATAAACAATAAAAACTAATCTTTATGTAACTAATAATTTTACTGTCTTTCAAATGAATATTTTTAGTTGTGGCAAAATTTAAAACTTTGATTTAAGATACAACCATTTTCAGAAAATTATTTTCAGGACTTTGAAATATTCAAAGAAAAATATTACAAATTTATTATTATTTTTGAGTTTTTGTTTTTTCTTCACTATGGATTTTCAATAACATATAATTGCATTTTACTCACGACATTAAAGAATAAGAATTATATGTGAGTTGATTATGTTTTAAATAAAGAAGAACGAAAAAATGTATAATTTTATTTATTTGAATAAATAAGCGTCAGTTTAGTGACACATTTATATAAAAATGAATTCCAAACATTATTCGGACAATAGTACTATAATATTTATGGAACCATTAGTAGGCAATTTAACGATTATTAAATGTACGTACGTTAATATTCATAACTATAATTGGAAAAATGGGTCATATTTAATAATACTACCAAAAGTATATTCCGTAGGAAACACATTATTTGAGGAGGAAAAATTACATTTACTCAGAACCTTTGATTCACGACCAAATTATAATCAACCGTCACGTCCCAAATACACAGTCTGTTGATCGTGACGTGTTTTTAATTTCAACATGGACAACGGTGGTTTTGCCAGTATATTTCACATGTCAGATGAGGGTTTTCTATTTATTTATCATTATTATTTTTATTTTTTCTTGACAGGCCTCTATTACAAGACACAGTTTTCTGGATTTTTGGATGAAAATCATACTTCTCAAATTATTTCTTTTTTTTTTCATTTTTCTTTTTCGAAACTGAAAATTCTTATTTATCTCTAATTAAGTGGTTATATTTTAACATGCGCTTATCTAATGTAAGTCGTAATGTTTTCGAATATAAATTGAAATATTTGTTAAATACACAATACAATTGATTTATTTGTCATATAATAACTTATTACCACACGGAAGTATTACTAATTTACATAATGACACAAAAGACGTTTTAAAAACGAACGTTTTTTGTTTTATCGAACAAAAAAAAAGATGATCATAAATTTTATATCATAAATGTTTTTAGTAAATAGCCAAAATTTGAGTGTAGTACTTAATGTATTTGAATCGCTTAAATTAGTACTGTGTGAGATCTATTAAATTTTACTTTTTTAAATAATTCGTTTCTGTGCATTATAAAATGTTTTATAAGTAAGTTTGTGTATCTATTATTTTACACGAATATTATTATTACTGAATATGTTTATATATTTTGAAAAAATTATATTTTTGCTACTATCGATTAACAATTGTAATAAAATATTATTTATTTAATTTAATATTTTACAAAGTGAAGTTGTATTTATTTTCTAAGATAGTTTTAAATTGTTAATAGATGGTTGACATCACAACAGATATCATTTGAAATATGCGCTTAATACTTAGTGTTTCTAAAAATTTAAGAAAGTATGGACTTACATGAATTATCGTATTCTGAATTGACCAATATAAAATGTATTATAAAATAATTTCGTCAAAGAAAAAATAAAAATAAAATTGTTATGTTCTGCAAGTATACGTATAACATGTTATCACATTTTATAATATGATTAATTTTCAACATTTTTCACTATCAGATTATTGACGACGAGATGATACTCGTGAAGACAAAACTAATGTGCACGAAACACGTACCACGTTAAGGTCTAACTACGTTTTATTTTCCATGCACACATTACAGTGTAAGAAGTTTGATAATGATAATTGTCGAAGACTTATTTATATCGCTGCGACTTGAAGATGTTCGTGTCATATATACCGCGTTACGAATTGTTCGCGCTCAATACCATTATCATAATATAATAGTTTATGAACGACTCCGGTGAATATCTTATGAAAATAAATTGATATAACAATTGTTGTTTATCTTATCACGATTCGTATTTATACGAATTTATATAGGTACTGGACGACAACGGATATTTTTGAAGATGATAAATTGAACGTGACGTTTGCGATCTCGCGAAACAAATACGCACAGCGAAAGTCATCTAAACGGACGCGGTGAAATAATTATTAATCATTACCAGTAAAATGTTTCATAACTGAACCGGTAGCGGCACGGGCATATTAATAATTCAATAAAACACGCGTCCTAATACACGAGCGAAAGTTCTACGCGAACGTTTTGTGCACCGAAACTATGCCGCGTCGCTGCGTCTGGTGCGCACGGCGTAATAATATTATTGTTTCGAATTACGCGCAGACATTACCGTTAAGTGATCGACGACGAAATCGGCGACTGCGAGCGCGCGCGATAATGATTGTACTGGTACGTACACCGCATATGGGGTATGCCGATATCAACGGTTTGGTACGCGTTGTCGCGTAGTTACGGCCTTTGACGGTGCGTCGATGACGCGCAGCGGTTGAAATAATTAATTCGTCGATGCCGTGGACGCAAGAGCCGCCGGAGAACGTTGTACGCGCGCGCGTTGCGATAACGTTTCGTGTACTCGAACTTTCGACAACGGCCATCGAATGTCGTCGGCTAGGGGAGGGCGGCGGCAGCGGCGGCCGCCTCCGACGGCCCCTGACCCACGCGACGCCGGTCGTACGTTCTGCACGTTCTACGGGCACCCGCTATGCTACTTACTTCGGACTAGGACCCTGTTGAACAGCGAGAGAACGAGAGCTGCGAAGACTACCGTGACTTTGCTAAATGGTCTCTGGTCCAGCCGTAGGCCCATGCCTCTCTTCCCATACTCCTTGTTAGACCTCTGACGACGCCATAGTCATCTGCGGGCAATCGGGAAAAGGATTAGTTTTTTTCCTCTTCCGACGCTCGACCCGTTTTCACGGGCGTTACGTAACATTACAACAATACACAAATAACATACAAGCACTTATGGTTTTATTAAATCAATACAATGTTTGTGTGTGCGTGCGTGCGTGCGTGCACGCGTGTTTGGGGGGGTTGAGGGGTGGGGGGGGGGGAGGAGGAGTGAATGTAAATGCGGCCGACTACGGGACCAACGCGTTTTCCGCTCACCTACGGAGGAAAACGATTTAACCGTTTCGCAATATATTATATCGTAACGGTACCGGCACAACGGGTCGGCGGCCGGGTCCCGTACCACCGTTGTTGCGCATGCATAGATAATAAACTTTTTCCCCGACTTACGAGACGCCGGGAGGCAACACGGGGAGTCCCCGCTCCCGGTGCGGTCCCGAGTCTCGACGTTGCCGATAAACCGCGATCGTCCGCACGGACCCGCGGGCTTCGTTATTATTACTATTATTATTATTATTATTATTATTATTGTTATGAATGTTTTCGACCCGTCGAACCCGCGCGCGCCCGGGCCTGTTCCGCGTCTTCCGCGGCTGTGGCTAACGTTGCGGGCACGGTTGGAAACGAGCGTAGGAACGACGTTCTCGACCGCGTCTCGATCCGGTGCCCGAGTGCCGGTTTACACGTCCGCGCGGAGCGAACGCGTTTGAATCGATATCACGTACTAGCGACGGTTCGCCAAAACGTGCACACGACGACGTTCCGGTACGTTTGGTCGCGCGTGCTGGCCGTTTCCACACCGCGTCGTGCACACCGTACGCGTGAAACCGCGCGGCCGAACGACGTGCATTGCGTACCGCGCGCAGTACGGCGCGGAAGCGGTCGGCGAAAAGGTGCGGTGGCCGGCAGCGATCCTTTCCGGGTGAACCCTTTTGGCCCGTCGAAATCACTCCGATGCGGGTGGGCGGCGGGTGCGGTGGGATTTATTTTTCGGCGGGCCCGAGACCCGAAACGCGCCGCGTCGAATGACCATCGAATACGCGCGGCGGAAAAAAAAACGACTCACGTGACGACGACGGGACGACGAGCGGACGTCCGTTCCGGGGCCGCCGTAACATATGGGAAGCGGTGGCGCCGGGTTACGGTGGCCGTTCCGGTGCGCCATGGGCGGCGGCCGCGGCTGTCCTTGGTGGCCGCGCGATCGGTACGGCACGGCACGTGAGATGCGACACCGGTGCGAGGCACTGTACGCGGATGGCGGCGTCGGCGGACTCCGGTGCGCGACGGGCGTGTAACTCGTCGCGCGCGATCGTGTCGTCGGTCGTCACTCGCGGCGCGTCGCCGATCGTTTTCTCCGTTGCATCTCACGCCGCGGACGGGTGTCGCGAAACACTCGTGTCGTCGTTTGTGCACGCACAACGATCGCGCAATCGGGGCGGCGGCGGCGGCGGCGGGACGAGGGGCGCGCGGAAAAAGGCGTAGCACGCCGGCGGTGACACGGTGCGG